TAGATTAACCATCCTAAAATGTATACATACTGTAAACGACTAGAGAACAGAACTATTCACGTAGATTAACCATTTAAACACACTATCACCGACTAGAGAACAGAACTACTACCAAAGATTAACCATGTAAACATACAGTAGCCGACTAGAGAACAGAACTACTCCATAGATTAACCATACTAAATGTAAACACTGTTACCGACTAGAGAAGAGAACTACTCCCCTAGATTAACCATTTAAACATACTGTAACCGACTAGAGAACAAATCTACTCCCCTAGATTAATCATGCAAACACACTGTAACCGACTAGAGAACAGAACTACTCACCTAGATTAACCATACTAAATGTAAACACTGTAACCGACTAGAGAACAGAACTACTCCCCTAGATTAACCATGCTAAATGTAAACATACTGTAACCGACTAGAGAACAGATCTACTCCCCTAGATTAACCATGTAAACATACTGTAACCGACTAGTGAACAGAACTACTCCCCTAGATTAACCATGTAAACATACTGTAGCCGACTAGAGAACAGAACTACTCAGTAGATTAACCATCCTAAAATGTAAACATACTGTAAACGACTAGAGAGCAGAACTATTCACGTAGATTAACCATTTAAACACACTATCACCGACTAGAGAACAGAACTACTACCAAAGATTAACCATGTAAACATATTGTAACAGACTAGAGAACAGAACTACTCCCCTAGATTAACCATACTAAATGTAAACACTGTTACCGACTAGAGAACAGAACTACTCCCTTAGATTAACCATACTTGATGTAAATATACTGTAACCGACTAGAGAACAGATCTACTCCACTAGATTAACCATGTAAACACACTGTAGCCAAATAGAGAACAGAACTACTCCGTAGATTAACCATACTAAAATGTAAACACACTGTAACCGACTACAGAACAGAACTACTCCCCTAGATTAACCATGTAAACATACTGTAACCGACTAGAGAACAGATCTACTCCACTAGATTAACCATGTAAACATTCTGTAGCCGACTAGAAAACAGAACTACTCCCCTAGATTTATCATGTAAACACACTGTAACCGACTAGAGAACTGAACTACTCCCCTAGATTAACCATACAAAATGTAAATATACTGTAACGGATTACAGAACAGATCTACTCCCCTAGATTAACCATGTAAACACACTGTTACCGACTAGACAACAGATCTACTCCCCTAGATTAACCATGTAAACATACTGTAACCGACTAGAGAACAAATCTACTCCCCTAGATTAATCATGTAAACACACTGTAACCGACTAGAGAACAGAACTGCCCCCCTTGATTAAACATACTAAATGTAAACACATTGTTACCGAGTAGAGAACAGATCTACTCCCCTAGACTAACCATGTAAACATAATATAACCGAATAGAAAACAGAACTACTCCCCTAGATTAACCATACTAAAATGTAAACATACTGTAACCGACTAGAGATCAGAAATACTCCCCTTGATTAAACATACTAAATGTAAACACTGTTACCGACTAGAGAACAGAACTGCTCCCCTTGATTAAACATACTAAATGTAAACATACTGTTACCGACTAGAGATCAGAAATACTCCCCTAGATAAACCATGTAAACATACTGTAGCCGACTAGAGAACAGAACTACTCAGTAGATTAACCATCCTAAAATGTAAACATACTGTAAACGACTAGAGAACAGAACTATTCACGTAGATTAACCATGTAAACACACTATCACCGACTAGAGAACAGAACTACTCCCCTAGATTAACCATGTAAACATACAGTAGCCGACTAGAGAACAGAACTACTCCCCTAGATTAACCATACTAAATGTAAACATACTGTAACGGACTACAGAACAGAACTTCACCCCTAGATAAACCATGTAAACATATTGTAACAGACTAGAGAACAGAACTACTCCCCTAGATTAACCATGTAAACATACTGTAAACGACTAGAGAACAGAACTATTCACGTAGATTAACCATTTAAACACACTATCACCGACTAGAGAACAGAACTACTACCAAAGATTAACCATGTAAACATACAGTAGCCGACTAGAGAACAGAACTACTCCATAGATTAACCATACTAAATGTAAACATACTGTAACGGACTACAGAACAGAACTTCACCCCTAGATAAACCATGCAAACATATTGTAACAGACTAGAGAACAGAACTACTCCCCTAGATTAACCATGTAAACATACTGTAACCGACTAGAGAACAGAACTACTTCCCTTAGATTAACCATACTTAATGTAAATATACTGTAACCGACTACAGCACAGATCTACTCCCCTAGATTAACCATGTAAACACACTATCACCGACTAGAGAACAGAACTACTACCAAAGATTAACCATGTAAACATACAGTAGCCGACTAGAGAACAGAACTACTCCATAGATTAACCATACTAAATGTAAACACTGTTACCGACTAGAGAACAGAACTACTCCCTTAGATTAACCATACTTGATGTAAATATACTGTAACCGACTAGAGAACAGATCTACTCCCCTAGATTAACCATGTAAACATTCTGTAGCCGACTAGAAAACGGAACTACTCCGTAGATTAACATACTAAAATGTAAACATACTGTAACCGACTCGAGAACAGAACTACTCCCATAGATTAACCATGTAAACACACTGTTACCGTCTAGAAAACAGAACTGCTCCCCTTTATTAACCATACTAATTGTAAACACATTTTAACCGACTCGAGAACAGAACTACTCCCATAGATTAACCATAGTGAATTCAAACTCTGTTACAGACTAGAGAACAGAACTACTCCCCTAGATTAACCATGTAAACATACTGTAACCGACTAGTGAACAGAACTACTCAGTAGATTAACCATCCTAAAATGTAAACATACTGTAAACGACTAGAGAACAGAACTATTCACCTAGATTAACCATGTAAACATACTGTAGCCGACTAGAGAACAGAACTACTCAGTAGATTAACCATCCTAAAATGTAAACATACTGTAAACGACTAGAGAACAGAACTATTCACGTAGATTAACCATGTAAACACACTATCACCGACTAGAGAACAGAACTACTCCCCTAGATTAACTATGTAAACATACTGTAACGGACTACAGAACAGAACTTCACCCCTAGATAAACCATGTAAACATATTGTAACAGACTAGAGAACAGAACTACTCCCCTAGATTAACCATGTAAACATACAGTAGCCGACTAGAGAACAGAACTACTCTCCTAGATTAACCATACTAAATGTAAACATACTGTAACGGACTACAGAACAGAACTTCACCCCTAGATAAACCATGTAAACATATTGTAACAGACTAGAGAACAGAACTACTTCCCTTAGATTAACCATACTTAATGTAAACATACTGTAACCGACTAGAGAACAGAACTACTCAGTAGATTAACCATCCTAAAATGTAAACATTCTGTAGCCGACTAGAGAACAGAACTATTCACGTAGATTAACCATACTAAAATGTAAACATACTTAACCGACTCGAGAACTGAACTACTCCGATAGATTAACCATACTGAATTCAAACACTGTTACCGACTAGAGAACAGAGCTACTCCCATTGATTAACCATACTAAATGTAAACACTGTAACCGACTTGTGGACAGCACTACTCCCCTTGATTAATCATGTAAACATACTGTAACCGACTAGTGAACAGAACTATTCACCTAGATTAACCATGTAAACATACTGTAACCGACTAAAGAAGAGAACTATTCCGTCGATTAATCATACTAAATTCAAACACTGTTACCGACTGGAGAACAGAATTACTCCCCTAGATTAACCATGTAAAGATAGTGTAACCGACTAGACAACAGATCTACTACCCTAGATTAACCATGTAAACAGACTGTAACCGACTAGAGATCAGAACTACTAGTACTCCCCTAGATTAACCATACTAAATGTAAACATTGTTACCGACTAGAGAACAGATCTACTCCCCTAGATTAATCATGTAAACACACTGTAACCGACTAGAGAACAGATCTACTCCCCTAGATTAACCATACTAAATGTAAACATACTGTAACCGACTATAGAACAGAACTACTCCCCTAGATTAACCATGTAAACATACTGTAGCCGACAGACCTATTATTTCCACAAAATAAAGTTACAAAGGATGTATTAAGAAATCTTAAATAGGTTTCCAATTCATACGAGATTGATGAACAAAATCGAGCTTTAAAAAAACCGTGATGAGCTTTGAAAATTAAAGATCTGGAAACGTATATGATAATACTTTTATCGTCAAATCAAAATGTTTGCAGCTCTTGAAAAAAAATTAATTCTGTATTTCTATAAATCCGTCTTCTGTCGTCATGGTAACATTACTGTATAATGATCTGACGTCATTCCCTCTGTCATCGCATCACAGCTGTGTGATGCATTTTGATTCAATGTATCTAGTAAATGTAAATTTGTATGGAAGGTGTTATTGTGTTGTGTCTTTTGTACGAATTCAAGGCAATTTAACAGACATGCTATATGATAATACATGGTATGATTGTATTCTGAAACTTAATAACAAGACAACCATGCGACATATATGTGATGGATTCATCGGACTATGTTATACTGAAAATCACTTACATTTCGCGTGGGATTTATTTTCGCGTTAATACGCGAAGACAGTCACTCGCAAATTTGAATCTTTTGCGATTATTTGTCCAGAAAATAACTCTGGATGGCATCCATGTTGATTCGGTTACCGATATCGGAGTATTCGTTGAAGAGTCTGGGTCCCTAAAAGCTCATTATTCGCGAATGAATTTTAAGTCATTTCTAGATAAGCATGCGCGAAATCATACACTCGGAAATATGTCTGAAGAGGTAAGTTGGTAAAATAAAGTTTTCACGAAATCAAAGTGCTTTACATTCACTGTATTACATCCCTAAAGATAAAGGAAATACCAACCTGAAAAGGATTTTGATGACACAACCGAAATCATGACAGCAATAGGCATACAAATTTGAAACTTCGCCATGTTGTTTTCCCCTGTCAAATTCGTTATAATCTGACCTCAGGAATGAATTTGTAAGTTCATTGGTTGTGTAAAATAACTGAAACATACTTTATGATGAACAAATTTTATTTCCGTCCTGTTTAATGGGATGTTATGGTAGCACAATGCGTAGAAAGGACGTATGGGGATTTATGTCCGGTTTCGGGTTCTCACAAGCACTCTTTCAATGACTCAATTATTTTCCGGTAACTTGTGTACTTGTCAATGTAGTGGTTACAAAAATAAGCGCTGAATTGACCTTAATTTCAAAATGTATGAAATTTGTTCAATATCAGTGTAAGAATTTTAGTTGGAACGATCTCCAAATTTTGGTCTCCCGAGAAAAAAAGAAAAAAAAAGAGGAAGATATGAAGTGAACACAATAGTTTTTTCAAGTGATAACAAGCGTAAGTAAAATCCTGTCTGATCGGGGCCTTTCACAAACAACTGCCCTTATACTCATTACTAAAGGCTGCCGTGACTTCGAGTGACACAGATTCGCCTGATTTGTCTGTAGTATTACCAGTTGATCTGTACACATGTTTCGATTCTGGAGAGATAATTACAAATTCTTCAATATTTAGAATTGTAAGGGTATGTACTTAAGAATTAATAGTCTAACTTATAACACACTGCAATTTAAATCAAACAGAGTATTTAAGTCTTGTATTACAAGCAGTGGATAGATATAGCGATGATAATCCGCCTACGACAACCAAAGTTTATCAGTGTTATTGAACACATTGAATCTTTAGATTTACAATGACTGACCCCCATCCCACCCCTCCAATCTCCGGAGGCCGTTCATTGTACTTCAACAAGAAACTGCATGTTCACGTCTTATAAGCATGTCTTTTATTTATATAACATTTACATCTGTACTGCAATGTAACTACAAATAACCAAAGAAACTGCGGTTTACGGTACTGTAACTTTATTGTTATATCAAATAAGGTCCTAGCCAAATGATGATTAACATCAATACTTGACTGGACATTCAAAGCTGAGCGATAAAAAAGGTTTAATACAATTACAAACAAAATTATTTTGGGCACTGCAGCACTCACAATTGTAACCCCCCCACATCTCCATTTTTAAAATGTCTTTTTCAAGATGACAGTTTCGGCAGTTTGATTTCAATTAGACCCGAAAAGAGATCAGGATCTGCATTTCATGATCACTTGGGCAACCGTTACAAAAAGGTCACCATAGATGCCATGCCAAACTTTTAATGAGGACAAAGAGTAAACACATTTTGTTGCTTTTTTCCACAACACCTCCCTTAATTTCCAGTTCAATGGCACCATATAAATAACAAAACTGTTACGGTTTTTTTTTTTTTGCTTTATTTATTTCACAACAGCTGTTACAAGTCTGTGGATGTCACAGAACCTGGCTACTCGGTGCAATACATGCTTCAACAACCAAGACAATAAGTTGTCAAATATGATAGAGAATCATGAAGTCTGTAGAAATAACACTGGGTTATGCAAAGAATTGTTGAAAATCATAATTTAGGTAAATGTTGTCCAGAGAAAATATAACTGTTTTAAAATTTTGAAATCATAGAAGGCATAATGTATGATTTATGTACTCTAAATTTAAGCAGCCTGATGATTTTATCCATTAACAGAAAAAAACTAACACTAAAGGCTTTCTTACATAACCATTTACCCAAATGTACCTGGACAGGAATCTATGCATAAAAACATGATTTTTTCTCACATCTTAATTTACAAGCAGAATAATTGTGACAGTTGAAAAACAATGCAGGATTCTAATTCAAAGCATACTGATATTTCACAAAGCTTTTAGGATATTGCCCATGATACCACCTTTGCCATGATCATCCTGAAAGTCCTCTCTAAATTTTACTTTACCAATGGCAGGTTTCACCACTTAAATCAAAATAACATCTACATGTTTCTGTCAAAAACTTCAGAACTTTCAGTAAATATTATCTCAAAAAAATCTCTGACAGCGGTCACTACCTAAATCTCAAAAAATTTCCAGTTAGACCTCCTAGAATATCTTGTAGGTGTTACTTTTTTAATTTTCCAAAACATCCAGTAGGTGGTGCTACTTCAATGTTCTAGAACATCCAGCAGATCTCAAAACTTAATCTACAGTCCACCAATAATCATCAATGTTGTTTACACATTAGCACATAAATGTTTTCAAACATTGAGATGTTGTTTCTAAAATTTAACACCTGTTATTGTTTCATAATCAGGAAGCTTTTATTCTCCACTAGGTGTCACCTCATGTTTTGCGTTTCTTTGCTTTCCCGCCCTCTGTGTGTATGTGCGTATCTGTGGAAAGTCGCCTACGTTTTGCCTCCTCCTCCTGTGAATTAACGTCAACAGAATTTAATCTCACAAAGAACCACATAACCATACAATGAGAATAGTTCCTGATGTAGTAAGATATACATATTTACCTGTGCTGCTAGGTGCTTCAATATCATCTAAGGAGTATATACTGTACTGTCTAGTATTAATTTTTTTCTGACTTAAATCACTTTGTGCTTCTGCTTTACCCTTTTAAAAACTTAACATAACCCAAAATTAAAGAAAGTATTTCTTGAAAATTTCTTTACATATTTTACAATTATAAAGAGTAATGACCTTGATTTTAACAGTTCTTGATGAGAAAACAGCTAAAACTAAATTGTTAGCTGTCAAATATAGGGACAGTATGAAAACAAAAGCAAACATTTTATTTCCAGGCCTAATTTTTACCAAAGTGGTTTACAGCACTGTACAGGGTTCGCATATAACAAGAGGACCATAGGGTTCTCCTGGTTTAGTGTTTTTGAAATTGGTTATTTCAAACTAAAATGAAAGTATTTAAAATGCTTGCATCTATTATCTATTCCACCTAATAAGGCCCAATCCTCCTCCCCAATGGGATTTGACATACTGTTTGTCAAATCTGGACAAAATTGAATAAGAAAAATTTTAAAGAATTTACTCCATTTTCACTATTGGACCCCCCTCCCCCATTTTTCCCCTATAGACCACCTCCCTCCCCAAGGGGCCTAAACCCCAACATCATACAAAACTGATTTTGTTTTACCCAAGGATGCTTCACACCAAATTTGGGCAAAATCATAGCATTCCTTTAGGAGGAGTTGCTTTCTACATAATTGCTCTACTTCCCAAATGGGCCCTGACCCTCCTGTTCCAGTGAGCTGAAACCCACTGCTTTTACATAATTGATTCCCCTTCACCCAAGAATGCTTCAGACCAAATATGAGCAAAATTCAACCATTCCTACAAAAGAAGTAGAATTTTAAAGACTTTGCTTATTTCCCCTATTGGGTCCCACCCCTGCCTCCCAAGGGGGACTAAAACCCATTGTTTCCACAAAATTCATTCCCTTTCACCCAGGAATGCTTCAGACCAAATTTGGGCAAATCCAATCATTCCTATTTGAGGAGTAGGATTTTAGACAACTTGCAGAAGAAAGAAAATAAACAGAACACACTTCATTTAAATTTGATGATGTACCATTCCACAAGAGAAAATGCAATGGTAGATATATAGAGGATATTTAATGGTATCTCGTTTGATATTATATATTTTTTACATGTATGACAGAATAATTGTATTTTTCATGAGAGAATTTGCAAAAAATATAGATATATTCTGTCATACAAGTTAAAGAGATATGATATTTATGGGAAACCATTAAATTTTTTTTATCACATTTTTAATGGTAAAACTAATGAAAAAAAAAGTTGATCAAACATAAAATAAAGCAGATTTCAAAACATTAGGAGAAATTGATGCATTCTTTAATGTCAGATAGTTTGAGGTTATGCTTGACAACAAGATGACACCATTTTGGACAGACACCTTTACACTGTATTCTACCATTTTATGCTGTTGTTCAGGTCAGAATCACTTACAAATTACCAACTTAATAAAGAAAAGTGGAAATAGACACAGGAATTATTTGATGGAAAACCAACTTATTCATTCTACACTTCATTTTTGTCTGAGCAGGAAAACCAGCATTAATTTCAATGTATTAACTAGAAAACACCACTCTGGTTGGTTAACACTAGGGAAGCTTTATCATCACTCAAAAATATTTCTTACATCATCACTGTAAAAATGATATACGGTACATAAATTTTTACCAAATAGATAACTTCCTATATTTCACTTGCAAAAATGTAATGAAAAATCAGTACATACCTTATCACTAGTGTTGTCAACACGCCGAGTCGTGCGCAAATGTTTTGTGTCAGTTGACTGGACCATCAGCTGGGTGCTCACATATTGCTGAGGAGGCAAGAGATCCGAAATAATGTTTAATATCTCACAATTACTTCTGGTTATTGAAATAAAATAATTTTGTGAATATGGGGCATCAATTAACCCAATTAAGATATTGGCATCAGATTAAGTCTTTCCACAATTAAACTCTATTGCTAAGACTGGTAATAACACAGTAAGAGATTTCAGTAACATTCACAGTGATTAAAGAGATGGTCAGACTAAACACAGCAGCTGTACTGTACCTCGATGTGCTGCATGACATCATGGTACATCTCAACAGCCATCTTGTACACGTTATGATTGGAACTGTTGTACATAATGGCATTTGTAAACATGAGCATTACATCACGCTGGAACTCTGCTGTTGTCCGAATGATGCCAGCTTCCACATTCTTCTTAATTGTACCTAGATTCATGGGTCTGTCAGAAGCAAAGTATATATAGTATTCTACTATAGCTTACATAAGTTTTGAATGGGCTTGTTTTTAACTTTTCAATATTCCTAAAATGACGACACAAACATCACTTTCTTCAGGAAGGAAGGGAGGTAACTTCAAACAGATATGTGACAGGAGGTAAACTGTTGACATTACAATTTAAGGATACATACTGTACACATTAACAAGAGGCAAATGGAACCTGTATTGTCCTCCTGTCTGACTTTGATATCTGAACTTAGACATAACTTAGACATAAATGTTTCTGAGAATTAGATGTCCTGATGGCCATGTTAAACTTTCCAATGCCACAGTTAACTCATGGTGAGGGTTATAAAGAGCTAATAAACACCTACCTGAACACAATACTGGAATATCCCGGAGCTATGTCCTCAGTAACAGGATGCATGAACACATTGGCATACCTGTCATAAATAAAGCACATTTGATGATTATACATCAAATATTCTCCCTATACTTTTATTCAGGAAGAATCATTCCATACATTAATGACACTGAAATGTAAGTATACAAAGATATATGGAACCTTTTTCTGACAGAGTACCAGATTTTGAATTATACGGAGTTGTTTTGTTACTAAAATGACCTTACAGCAACTATTTCTTTGTTAGTTTAGTGATGCTTTACATCCTATTGACAACCAGGGTCATTCAAGGACATGCCAGGTTTAGCTGGCGGAGGAAAGCTTACGTCCAGGGAGAAAAACCACCGACCTGTGGCCAGTACCTGGCGACTGCCCCACGTAGGTCTCTAACCTATGACCCAATGGAGGGCAAGTGATAAAGACCGTCAGACGTCTTAACCACTTGACCACCACAGCCCTCTGCAACAATACCTTCCATACAATTTACAATATGTAGAGGTCAAACATGTATTGGTAAACTATATGACATACAATGAACTGATGGTCAAACATTTAATGGTTTACTTGTCAGTGATAATCAGTCAGCTTGTCAATTCTACTTACTTGTGGCTGGCAGCTGATTTCCACACAAGCATGATGGATTTCTTCCAGTTTTTCCAGTTCTTTTCATCTTCAGTGTCACTACTTTAAACAATATAAGAAACTTGAATGACAATAACAAATAATAAAGGACACTCAAGAAAGCAGAAAAAACTTGCCTTTACTGGCAGGTGGCCTTTATACAGAAGTCCAGTGACTACGAATAGTGAAACATTTGGAATGATCAAAGATGTCTTTATAGACAGGTATAAAACCAAAGAAGACAACATTAAACCAACAGTCAGTAAAATCTAGTAAGTAGCCAAGTAACTTTATCACATAGACAGTTAAGAAAAGACAATGATTACATCTCCAATATTCCAGTTAAAAGGATAAGAGGGGTTTCAATGCTGATGAGACTGAAGACCATTTATGAAAGATGTTGGAGAATTAACATGCCTAATGTTCTAGTAAAATTTGGTGATCTTACCAAGGAGAAAAAGGATTGTCACTGAGAAAGTCCCAAATCTCCCTCCCTAATTGAAGGTGGCCTTATCAAGGAGCCAGAGGACTGTTTGGGATGGACACTTGACAAAGTGCTTGATGTCCCTGTCTGTTTGAAGGTGGCCTTATCAAGGAGACAGAGGACTGTTTGGAATGTCCTCCAGGGAAAGTCCTGGATTGTCCAACCTTGTTGAAGGTGACATTACCAAGGAAACAAAAAGCTATTTGGAATGGACCCTGAGAATGTCTCTTGATTTCCGTCCCTGATTGAGGGTGACTTAATGTAGGAGACAGAAGACTATTTGGGATGGACTCTGTGAAAACCCCTGCTATTCTTCCATGATTGAGGACAGACTTACCAATGAGAAAGAGGACTGTTTGGAATGGACTCTGAGAAAGTCCCCGATGTCCCTCCCTGGTTGAGTGAACTTGAGGCTAGGTCATCGTCCTCCTCGGTTGTGTCTCCATCACTTAGACGAGACATAGAATCATCTTTTCGATCATCATCCTGATAAATAACAACCAAATAAAAAAATCATTAAGTGCTTTAACAAAAATACCAAAGGTTGGGATATATTACAGGACAATAAAATAGCACAGGTTTTTAATTTTACTAAATAGCAATGTATACGGTCATGCTCATTTATGTACAGTTGAACTGCCAAATGAGTATGTTAATATATCTAGCACTGTGATTTATGTGTTAACAAACAAATAAACACTCAAAAGAAGAAAACACTCATTTGTGTGACTCTACAGAGAACAAAGATTTTTTCCTGTCATTGCTGTATAAATAATGCAAAATCATGCAGATTTGAAAGAAAATTTGACTTTGGTATAGCCTTACATGTAATGCCCTTCTTGGTCTCCTTGATGGCCGCCTACCTCCACGTGATCGTCCTAAAATGGATTCAACCTTGTTTTTACCAATGTGTTATTATGGTATGACTCAAAACAAAATCTTCTACTTTTGCTATAATGTAATAATATGTCAGACAAGAAGATTATACAGGACTTTTTCACTCTTTTTTGGGTGTATCTAGTATGCGTGTATATGAAAAATCATTATCACCCAGATTAAAGATAAATATATCACCGGCAGTGTCTTGTTTGACATTCATAATACTTTAGATTCTACAGAGTACTATGATTAAAAAAAAACATCTTTTTTTATTTGATGGACAAAGTGAATACAAAATAAATTAATAGTTCTGTTTCCTATTTCACTTCTAGACAGACTCTTCTGTCTTGCTATAAAAATTTTCATCAGATACTGCAAAACCATATCTTTTTATACATATTCATTGATTTCATAAAATAAATCTTTCTTACAAAATCCACTAGTACTATATTTCATGTCACTTCTTTTATTTCATATATTTATGAATTTGTGGATTAAGAGAACAAATGAATACAAAAATGAATGATTTTTCAGTAGAAAAATTTCTGCCTAAGCAAATGAAAATTGTGCCTGCTCATTAAGATGTTATTTACACAGAAATACTGAAACTACCGACCTCTTCCTCGTCGTCTAACAACGTTCCTAAAGTTATCTGACTCGCTGAGTTTAGAAGACACACTACTAGTGGGAGAGAGTGGCTCCTCCTCTTTGATGGAAATCTCATCATCCACATTGATAAAACTAGAGCTGTTGATGTCTGCTGACTCTGTACTATCCTCCTGAATGTACAACAGCAGATAAAGGTATTGGAATACATGAAATGATCACGAGGCACATAATTATTATAAATTATTTTTTGAAGTTTATTCACAAATTTGATATTTTCATTGAGTTGCAACATTCCTTACACAGCTATTACAATGTCAATCAATTTTTTTTTTCGGGATACTGATAAAACTGAAAGTCCCCTTCACTTTGCAGATTTCACCCAATACCAAGGTCACCATTTTTAAGATCAGAGGTGAAACCTACCGGAATATCTTCCACTTTGTGAATCGACATTTCGTCATCTTTGCTCATAACATCAATTGTCGAGTCTCGTGTATCTTCATCTTCCTCTGTTGTAATCTCATTCTTCTCTTCCTCTTCCTCCTCTGTCACCACCTCCTCCGGAACCATGATATCTGGAATCAATAAGCAGTCTTATACATCAAGCTTTGATTACTTAATGATATAAAACAGAATCTTATACACCAAGTTCTGATGTAATGAAGGGTATAAAACAGAATCTTATACAACAAGTTCTGATGTAATGAAGGGTATAAAACAGAATCTTATACAACAAGTTCTGATGTAATGAAGGGTATAAAACAGAATCTTATACAACAAGTTCTGATGTAATGAAGGGTATAAAACAGAATCTTATACAAGTTCTGATGTAATGAATGATATAAAACAGAATCTTATACAACAAGTTCTGATGTAATGAAGGGTATAAAACAGAATCTTATACAACAAGTTCTGATGTAATGAAGGATATAAAACAGAATCTTATACAACAAGTTCTGATGTAATGAAGGGTATAAAACAGAATCTTATACACCAAGTTCTGATGTAATGAAGGGTATAAAACAGAATCTTATACAACAAGTTCTGATGTAATGAATGATATAAAACAGAATCTTATACACCAAGTTCTGATGTAATGAATGATATAAAACAGAATCTTATACACCAAGTTCTGATGTAATGAAGGGTATAAAACAGAATCTTATACACCAAGTTCTGATGTAATGAAGGGTATAAAACAGAATCTTATACAACAAGTTCTGATGTAATGAAGGGTATAAAACAGAATCTTATACAACAAGTTCTGATGTAATGAAGGGTATAAAACAGAATCTGATGTAATGAAGGGTATAAAACAGAATCTTATACAACAAGTTCTGATGTAATGAAGGGTATAAAACAGAATCTTATACACCAAGTTCTGATGTAATGAAGGGTATAAAACAGAATCTTATACAACAAGTTCTGATGTAATGAAGGGTATAAAACAGAATCTTATACAACAAGTTCTGATGTAATGAAGGGTATAAAACAGAATCTTATACACCAAGTTCTGATGTAATGAATGATATAAAACAGAATCTTATACACCAAGTTCTGATGTAATGAAGGGTATAAAACAGAAGGGTATAAAACTTATACACCAAGTTCTGATGTAATGAAGGGTATAATACAGAATCTTATACAACAAGTTCTGATGTAATGAAGGGTATAAAACAGAATCTTATACAACAAGTTCTGATGTAATGAAGGGTATAAAACAGAATATTATACACCAAGATCTGATGTAATGAAGGATATAAAACAGAATCTTATACACCAAGTTCTGATGTAATGAAGGGTATAAAACAGAATCTTATACAACAAGTTCTGATGTAATGAAGGGTATAAAACAGAATCTTATACAACAAGTTCTGATGTAATGAATGATATAAAACAGAATCTTATACAACAAGTTCTGATGTAATGAAGGGTTAAAACAGAATCTTATACAACAATGATATAAAACAGAATCTTATACAACAAGTTCTGATGTAATGAAGGGTATAAAACAGAATCTTATACAACAAGTTCTGATGTAATGAAGGATATAAAACAGAATCTTATACAACAAGTTCTGATGTAATGAAGGGTATAAAACAGAATCTTATACAACAAGTTCTGATGTAATGAAGGGTATAAAACAGAATCTTATACAACAAGTTCTGATGTAATGAAGATATAAAACAGAATATAAAACAGAATCTTATACAACAAGTTCTGATGTAATGAAGGATATAAAACAGAATCTTATACAACAAGTTCTGATGTAATGAAGGATATAAAACAGAATCTTATACAACAAGTTCTGATGTAATGAAGGATATAAAACAGAATCTTATACAACAAGTTCTGATGTAATGAAGGGTATAAAACAGAATCTTATACAACAAGTTCTGATGTAATGAAGGATATAAAACAGAATCTTATACAACAAGTTCTGATGTAATGAAGGATATAAAACAGAATCTTATACAACAAGTTCTGATGTAATGAATGATATAAAACAGAATCTTATACAACAAGTTCTGATGTAATGAATGATATAAAACAGAATCTTATACAACAAGTTCTGATGTAATGAATGATCTTATACAACAAGTTCTGATGTAATGAATGATATAAAACAGAATCTTATACAACAAGTTCTGATGTAATGAAGGATATAAAACAGAATCTTATACAACAAGTTCTGATATGTAATGTAAGGATATAAAACAGAATCTTATACAACAAGTTCTGATGTAATGAAGGATATAAAACAGAATCTTATACAACAAGTTCTGATGTAATGAAGGATATAAAACAGAATCTTATACAAGTTCTGATGTAATGAAGGATATAAAACAGAATCTTATACAACAAGTTCTGATGTAATGAAGGGTATAAAACAGAATCTTATACAACAAGTTCTGATGTAATGAAGGATATAAAACAGAATCTTATACAACAAGTTCTGATGTAATGAAGTTCTGGATATAAAACAGAATCTTATACAACAAGTTCTGATGTAATGAAGGGATATAAAACAGAATCTTATACAACAAGTTCTGATGTAATGAAGGATATAAAACAGAATCTTATACAAGTTCTGATGTAATGAAGGATATAAAACAGAATCTTATACAAGTTCTGATGTAATGAAGGGTATAAAACAGAATCTTATACAAGTTCTGATGTAATGAATGATATAAAACAGAATCTTATACAAGTTCTGATGTAATGAAGGGTATAAAACAGAATCTTATACAAGTTCTGATGTAATGAATGATATAAAACAGAATCTTATACAAGTTCTGATGTAATGAATGGGATATAAAACAGAATCTTATACAACAAGTTCTGATGTAATGAAGGGTATAAAACAGAATCTTATACAACAAGTTCTGATGTAATGAAGGATATAAAACAGAATCTTATACAACAAGTTCTGATGTAATGAATGATATAAAACAGAATCTTATACAAGTTCTGATGTAATGAAGGATATAAAACAGAATCTTATACAAGTTCTGATGTAATGAAGGATATAAAACAGAATCTTATACAACAAGTTCTGATGTAATGAAGGGTATAATACAGAATCTTATACAAGTTCTGATGTAATGAAGGATATAAAACAGAATCTTATACAACAAGTTCTGATGTAATGAAGGGTATAAAACAGAATCTTATACAACAAGTTCTGATGTAATGAATGATATAAAACAGAATCTTATACAAGTTCTGATGTAATGAAGGGTATAATACAGAATCTTATACAAGTTCTGATGTAATGAAGGATATAAAACAGAATCTTATACAAGTTCTGATGTAATGAAGGATATAAAACAGAATCTTATACAACAAGTTCTGATGTAATGAATGATATAAAACAGAATCTTATACAAGTTCTGATGTAATGAAGGATATAAAACAGAATCTTATACAACAAGTTCTGATGTAATGAATGATATAAAACAGAATCTTATACAACAAGTTCTGATGTAATGAATGATATAAAACAGAATCTTATACAAGTTCTGATGTAATGAATGATATAAAACAGAATCTTATACAAGTTCTGATGTAATGAAGGGTATAAAACAGAATCTTATACAAGTTCTCATGTAATGAAGGATATAATACAGAATCTTATACAAGTTCTGATGTACTGTATTAAATAATGCAGTTCTTAACAACAAAAAGTAACAAACTTTAAGTGTCAAAAATCCAAAATGGCCATTAGTGACCAACTTTAACATCCAAACAAAGATCCTACCTAATGTGGGGTCATCAGTAGCAACAGAACCGGAGTCTGTTGCCCCACTTGTCACATCAACCTGAGGTGTGTCCTCATCGAGCTGTCCATGATGACCAGGCTTATCCAACAGTTTAGGGATAGTCGGTGTCGCTGAGGATTGTGAAAAAGACACACAACTGAATAGCTCCTTTCAGTACAAATTTAAAACAAGATACAGCAGAGCCAGATAATGAATGGTACTGCAACTTACAACTGTTTTGTCCATCTACAATTTATCAGTGATGATTATGGCTAAATTTTAAACCTGACAGAAATCAAAATTGATACAAAGAAATGTCAAAATGTAAATGGGAGGTGCACATGTCCGATAAAATAGTGCACTGCAGCAAGTTCTTTCCCACTAAATACATAGGACACTTCAAACTAATAAAACTTATCAATGTAATGAATTTAAAGATAACGGAGTTCTAGGTGTTGATAATTCATGTATTGAATGAATATATGAAGAACTCACAGCAAAGTCATCAGAGCATACCACATACTCACAATAGCAACCTAGAAATACATTCACTTTGCACAGTAAGTAAATTTTTGATATTCGAACATCCTATTGTAAATCACTTAGATTTTGTAAATACTTTATTTCGCAATCTTATCTCTACAGCCATAACTGTTAATCACTTTGATTTCGCAAATAATTTATATCGTGAAATTATCTCTTCAGACATATTTGCAAATACATGATTTTGTAACTGCTCATCAAGAAATTATTACTTTAAATTCATGAATGATGAGATAATAGAGACTTGGACTCTTCAGGACTACAATATCGGTAACCAAATCAACATGGATGCCATCCAGATTTATTTTCCTACAGATAATCCTGTGGGATTTGAATATGTGATTGACTCTGCTTACGTATTGATGAGAAAACAAATCCTTGGCAAAATGTGAGTGATTTACAGTATATGGAGTATCAATGTATTCAGCCTACATGCCATAAGAGATACTATCAGCCCTACTAACCATATGAAGATGAAGAGTCCTCTGTACTGGAGGCTGGGTCATCATCTTCCTTGATGGGCGGAGCCTGTGGGGTGGCGGTCTTACTAGCAGCCTTCGCTGCCAATTGTTGGGCATGTAATTCTTGTTTCAGCTCTGCTTCCTACACAAAAAAAGTAAACTGATTTCCTTGCTACTTTTCTTTTCATATTTTATCTATCAACATCAAGAAGGCCCTGTGTATCAATGTCTGATTTCATTCCTTCACCATTTCATGTATTTTTATACCTTTTTTGTACATTCCGAGAAACTGATTCATATACATTGTACTATAATTTGGCATCAGACATAAAGTATTATGTTTTGTGTTTTCATATATTCACCTCTGACACAAAGTGTTTTAAACTTCTCTTTTCATTCTAAATCTGCCTCCCACAAATGACCTCCAGTGTATTTATATGTATAAAAGACATAAATTCACAAAAATAGGATATTAAAAATAAAAGTGATTTTTTTTCCTATATTCACCATCTTATAACATTACAGGATTCCTTTACAGTCTCTCTGGAGGACAATATTTATAAACATTTTTTTCATCTGTTAAGAACTTGTCTTCCCTATGTAACCCTGGTAAATACTAGCAGCAACATACTGTTTGACTAGAGAAAACTTCTCATAAGCTCAATCAGTAGAGCACCAGACTAGTAAGGCAAGGGTTCCGGGTTCGAATCCTAGCGGAGGCATTGAAATAAATAATGACCTTTATTACACCTACATACCAACTGGTTGACTGTGTAGTGCTTGCTTTGTAACAAAGAAGACAATAAGTCAGATGCAGCTGTAGACTTTTGCTTTTCCTCTACTGGAGTCGTAATGTCAGTTTTCAGAGTTAAGGACGGATTGACAGAGGAGCTTGAAGGGCCTTCAGTGGCCTAGAGAAAATAAAACAAATTTCATTGCAAAACTTTCTTATCAAGTTGATATACTGGCAAAGCAAAAAAAAGTCACATACTGAGGAAAGCGAGTCAAAGCATTTCATGTATTTGACATTCTACCTTTCCAAGAATCATGAGTAAAACATTTGTAACACTCCTGTGTGAAATATTCAGGAAATCCTGCTTTGGACAAACATGGACATCAAAAACAAAAAGAGCAAAAGATCTGAATTACCTGTAAGTAAGTGAAATTCCCTTTTCATCAGTGGAAAAAGTTTGATGACCATAGTAATTAAAACAAGAGGCCCATGGCCTTAATGGGTCATCTGATTTTAAAGACCTATATATGAAAGAGGCCAGATAGGCCTAAAATAAATTGCTCAACTACACTACAGCTTACACAGAAGACTTCGGTTGGTTCATAAAGACATTTTCTGCAAACCTGAAGTCATATTCTTTATACATGCACTACATTACTATGATCATATTGCTTGTTGAAAAAGCATGCTACAAGCGTAACATCAAGACCATTGGACTTTTGATTACTGAGAAGAAGTTGCCTATACATTACAACACAACAGATTAACAAATTTGGTAGCCCGAACTCCAAGCATGCTACTAGCCTAATATCACCCTGCAACTTCTGCTTTTTAAGAAGAAGTCATTCAAACCTTGTAACATATTTGACCCCTGTGACCACTATAGTAGGTCAAGGTCATTCATAATAACAAACCTGGTAGCCTTTTATCCCTCCCATCATACTTCAGGCCCAATATTAGTACAGTGAGCCTTCTGGTTATTGAGGACAAGTCATTTGAATGGAAAGTTTAAGCACGGCACAGCAAAGAACGAGACAAGATGGCTATAGGTGGCCATCCTGAGCCTTGTTGACAGAGTATTTGGGACATGTTGAGAGAGTATATGGGGCAGACTTAAGAGATATCTCACCAGAATGGGTGCTGCCTCTGTATTTGGCTCTTGTTTAATGTTCTCCACATCCACCATGGTATTCCCTTGTTCAGCAAACAGTCGACTCACTGTTCCTTTACGGGGTTTGTTTGCTGGAATTTGATCATTGCAACATAGTAACATGTGTAATAGGAACAAGTTGGGCCCTGACACTCAGAAGAAAGAAACTCTATCGCTTGAATAAAGGGAAATTCCCACTAATAGGGACTAGCAACGTGACCTGAACTCTTCACTTTAAAACAAGTAATATCACTATGGAAGATTTCTCACGACATTATCATCATGGAGCACTAAAGCTGAGCTGTATGGGAGAAATCATTAAATAAACATTAGAGGGACTTCTGTCCTAGTGTAATATGTACTTTCTTAGATATATATTCTGAGAAGATCAGCTCTAGAGAAACCTGAAAGTCTACTTTTAGGATATCTGCTTTAGGGAAACTACTTAAACTTTTTAAAGAGAGATCTGAACTAACTGACCTTCGGCCTCCTCTGCCAGCTTCCTTTCCATTTGTTTGGCCTCCTCTGCAGCTTTTTTCTCCCTATATAATTATCATAATCACCTATTTAAACAACTATTTAAATTTCTAAATGTAATATTTAAGTAAATTCAGAGAGTAAAATACTAATGCTAAAATACAGCTGTTTTCCATCACTGCTGAATACAGGAAAAAATACATGTGGCAGGTATATTTTGATAATGACGGCGCCAGTTGCAGGATAAATCAATATATATTTGTGTTTATACCATACATAATCAAAAGCTTACATCACATCATATCTCTTTATATACATATAACTTAAACTTCATCATAGAACACTGAGCCATCATGAGAGATACTTGAACATATTATTGGTTTAGAGTTGGGATTTTTATTTTAAGACACACCACTGTCTTCCTTCAGGACAAATGTCAACAAAATCAACAAGAATTGGACTGTTTTCAGCTGGTATTAGACATATTGATACATCTGTGTATCATCATATAAGGTGTCACATCTATGTATCATCAACAAAACAATAGTGTTGTGATACCTAAAATTACCTGTTACCATTGGTTACTAATTATGCATAACATGAAATGGTCGAAACACAGGTAGCAACAAGAAGTTGATCATGTGGAGTCCTCTGGCTGGTTCTACTTTCAGTTTTGAACTAACCTTACAGTCTTTAGATTACAAGAAACTGATGAAATATCAGTCTCTCGAAATGGATGCAGGAAAAAGATAAATCAGTCTAGTAACATAACGAACGAGTTTGTTACTTGTTAGCTTTTGTAATCAAACCCTTAAGACTTTCAAGCAAGAGAGACAAGTCAATGTGTAGGAGAAGAAACCTCCTAGCTGTAGGGCCTTGAACTTACATTATCTACACTGCATCATTTTACGTGTGTCTACATCAGTCTGTTCTCTGTGGTGTGGATTTTATGATTTAATATAGGTGAAAGGTCCACTTTCATCAGTTTGTTTTGGAGTGAACAAAACTTCATATTTTCATTTAATCTATCTAGTGGCTCTTTTGTAATATAGCTGCACAGTATTTTAAGATTTTTTTTTTAATTTGTAAATTGAAAGGAATGGCAAAATGCAATAGATATATTGTAGACTGCAGTAGGTTAACATCAGTACTTTTTATCCTTCATATATCACAATATGTGTCATAGTGTGACTCTTGTTTCATGATCTGTATTGTATCAACACAACCCAGGTGATACAAACCTCTACATAACATGCACGGGCATTACAAATCTGAATGCTAACTGAATACGGGCAAAAACAATGAAGAACATTAGCACTTCATGTGAAATCTGTTTTTATCCAGTTGTCATTGATAATGTTGAGGAATGGCCACTAAAAGCAGTTCAATTTTTATACATCTTGTTATGGGGAAAGACAAACTCAATTTGTTTATATTACATGTACCTGTTGTATTTTTATATTGTTGGCAGTTCACAAGCTTGTAATACACAACTGATGTTGGTAAAATTGCACCTCATCAATGCCATTCAATGGCAATTATAAGCTATGTTAATGCATTCAATTAGGTACAAGTGTGGATTTTAATATCTCTCCCATCTTGAAAGGCAAATAGTTATCATAGGTTCAGTAAGATAACAGGCTCATAGGTTGACTGAAAGTAAATAAATAAACTCTGAAGTACTAGTAGCAGTACTGATGGTTATTAAATCTTAATACTTTATCTCGTAAGAATATCAAATCTGAGAGACATGCCTTGATACTTACATCTGCATCTGTTGCCATATTTCCCCTAATTTATCATCCATCTGTCCTGATCTAATGCTCTCCATTTCTTTTTTTAGCTTCCTGTTGACAGAAAACAAGCCATACAGTTAAATAAATACCAGAAAAGAACGTGTTAAATATTCCAGGAGTCACAGCAATACATGTCAATACCTATCGGATCACTACATGGAACTTTTGACTCACTAATCTTGTGTTTAATTAATCAAGCTACATAGGAGTTCTATCAAGCCAAGCAGTATATTTCAAGCTAGCATTTATGAGGGTTTTATAGCCTGGCTAATTGTAGGATAACAAGTCATTTAGTTGACAGTTGTTTCAAAAAGACTAAGACCAAAAAACAATCCACTGCACACAGTTTCTGCAAGCTTTCTAAACATTGTTATTGTCAAGAGTAGTGGATAAGGTGGCATATATGTTTACTTGTATCTTTGTTGCTGTTCTGTGACTTTCTTCTTTAACTCTTCCATCCGTTCAATACTAAGCTTACGGATGATCTGTATTCCTGGCGTCTCAATCTCCCCTCGATCACCCCTTTTCCGCCTGGAAGTATAATATTGTTAGCAAGATGAAATGCCTGCATTTCCAAAGCAGATTTAACATAGCTACATAACTAATTATTAATATCCTACAGATTACATTTGTTTTAATATGGTGTCAACTACTATGCTTGGCCCCACCTTACCAGATCATTTTAGTAGATACAACATCACATTCAGCAATGCAAAGACCCATTTCAAAAGCATTCTTACTATGTCTAAATATGATTTCCCACCCCCCCACCCCCCCACCCCCCCACCCCCCTTAAACAAAAGATATATATCAATATCGGATTAAATTAGTTTTTTCTGTCTTTTCTTTTTTTCATTTTATTTTCCTTTTTCTTTTGTCCGATTTATTTGTAATTTGTACTGGATACAAAAGACCTACTATGGCACAACCATGGTTTATTAATGAAACCAATGAGATAGAGGTTCAATTTAGGATTAATCTGCAGGTGCATCAATATATAATGATACATATACTGTATTTTCCAGGCTATAAACCACATCCAAGTATAAGCCACAGGGCTGTTTTTTCAGTGATATTTTCTAATTGATCCACATATAAGATGAACTGAAGTATAAGCTGCACCTTCTCTTGCAATGTGGTAACCATTATGTTGATCAAAGTTTGTTGATATAACAGACAACGAAACATTTGATATAAGTATCACAAGACAAGATAGAATCTGAGCTCCATTTTCAAAAATTATCATTTAACAAATCATCTTATAGGTATTTTGCAAAAAAAAAGATGATCAATTTTCTTTTCATTAGTTATCACTTTTCCAGCTTTGTGATTGGTTTAAAATGTGATATAATGACAAAGCTTGGACAAGGACTAAGAAGATTATTTAAAACATGATCAGGTGAGAAAAATTTGTGGCATACAAATAAAGAAAATGGCTGCACGATAATATTGGTAAGTATTTTGAATAAAATGACACCAGGTTTACAGAATTTATTGCCAGATCAAACGAATGTCAGGAGATTGTTTATTTGTTTGATCTAATGCCCCTTGAACATACAGCGTAATTTCAAGACAGTATAGATGTAGTCTGTTGATAGTAGTTGTTCGCTACCTCCATATCTGAATCTCATGCTGGAGGCCTAAGTATCATAAGCTTTCTTGAATAATTGGGGTAAAGTGTCTTGCCCATGGAAAGAATACAGATGTTGCCCATGATGTTTCATTACAAACAGGGTTATATCATTACCTTAGATTTGGCACAATGTTTATTGCACTAGGGTCAGCTTACTTTTACCAAACGCAGCTTAATAATCTACCTCCTAGCAGTAACACCCTTATTTTCTGAGTCAAAGCCAAGTGGTCTGAGATATTCTATTATTCTTAATACAGAATACTCTGTTGGCCATTTGAATTTCAAGCTAAGGTTGCCACTTGACATCAAACATTAGAATATTAAAGGGAGACAACTCTATTTTTTCAAGCGAAGGCGTATCAATATATAACCTAACCCTTACTTTGGTGTTTCTGCCTTCTCAAGTAATTCTGCATACTGCAATGCACAGTTCTGTGTGGAAAAAACAATGCATAAACAATGTAATATTCAACTAAGTAAGTTTTACTGCATCTTGTAAATATATTACTAATATCTTTTGAAACAAGCAATATCAAACTGAACCTGTTGATTAGATGGAATTGGGTTCTTCATAATGTAAACTACTTACTGTGTGTATGAAGTATAATTAATTGGCTTGTGAAAAGTAAAAATTAACATGGATATTGTATGAGCTTCAGAGAAAGAATGTGGAGTCCATAACACTACTTGGTTATTAACTTAAATTCAGAAATGGTGGATAAATATTGAATCTGAACAAACATACCTTCTGAGAGAAACTCTCTGGTGTGCGATGGGCTTCACCATATGGTCTTATAGCTCTGCTTACTGATACCCTGTACCACAATAAAAAGTTATAAAATTAAATTTTTTATCTCAGTTTTGATCAAAAGCAAATATTTGTGGTATCTGTGTATTCACAAAAACAAAACTGTAGATGTGAAAGATTTAGGAACTAACTCATACATGTATAAAACTTCTGCTAGAAGAGGTTAGATTATTATTGTTTTACATTATATTGAAGGATGTGCCAGTTTTAGATGATGTAGGAAAGCCAGATATCCCAGAGAAAACCACAGGTCATCAAAGCATCTTCAATATACTCCTTTTTTTAAAAAAATCTTTTTTGAATATACTGCAAAATCTAAATATCCAAATGTATTCCTAAATATCAATTTTAAATAACAATGTATTTTTAAATGATTATAACTATATACAAGTACAGTAGACACTTATTTGTTCATATGTGCAGTCAATTATTCATTATCATAATTATCTCAAAAAAAAAAAGAAAAAAAAAAGAACAAACCAGTTCTGGTCACCACTTCTCAGTACAGAACAGGCCAGTGCAAGTCTTTCCCTCAATGACCATACTTCTAAGGGTCCCTGGTGGCGGAATTCTGGAGTAGATAACAATTTTTTATTAGTTATTCAGTCACAACCTTTCTAATTTGTAAATTTACACATTTTTTCTTTTAAGTTCAAAACAAAAACAAAAAATGTGTTCATGTTACAAGCTTAACAAAATAGGTTGGTATATATGCTTTTATAATTGTGTTTACATTTAAAAGTGATTATCTTAATGTAAGATACAAATACTATTATGTCATATTAAATACAACAATGATATGCCCAACACATATCTGTAACTAAAGAAATTACTTAATGTAGTGATTTCACGGAATCATAGCCTTGAGTCCTGGACTCTTACTCTCCATTTGGGACACACTTGAATCTTGAGACTCAATCTCTTATCTCATAGTATTGGGATTGGAATTGGTGTTCTGGGCTCAACTTCCAAAAACACCTGCTGGGAAAACCCATGTGCCAACAGTGGGGTAACAACTCATGCCACAGACATCATTTTTTAAAATCAATTTGTAGTCAAATTGTTCTGTAACCCTACAACATTCATAGTTTAGTATGTCTAACTCCATAGCATTCTATCAAAAATTACATATTAACATTTTACAAACACTGCTTGAATAAGTCATTGAGGCAATGAATGTCTATGTGTATTTAATCCTGTTCTTGTCAGGCTTTTATTCATTCTGAAAGAGATGGACTGGGTATACACAGTGATTTTAGGGACTCAAAAATTTAAATCCTGGACTCCTTCTTTTCTTGTGGGACTCTCAAATTTTGTGAACCCACTACATCTTTTTGTAACTAGTGGACTCAGCAAAATTTGGAAATGGTCCTCTGGATTTACCAGAAAAAAAAACCTTCAGAATTTATTGGGATATATATAATTTATCAAGCTAATATAATTTGTCAGTTCTTATGCTAAAAAAAAACAGTAAATACATGAAGGGTATCGTAGTGAAGTGGAAGCACCTTGTGCAACAACCAAAACTGTCAAATGCATGAACTTGAGGCCAACTTCCGCTGTATGTTGTTGTATCCTTTCATGGGCAAGAATCTGAATCCTTATATACATTTCCTAACAAATAAGTAGACATGCATATGTATGGGAACTGGAAAGAATACCAAAATACAGAATGTAATCATCCTGTTGAGGGTTGAGACTTACTTCAAATTGGAAGAAGTTGAACTAAATCACACTACGTAAATGTGGTGGAGGATTACTAACATAAATATCACCAATCATGATCTTGAACCACATTCAATCAAACAATTACAAAAGGGAACAATTAACTGCTTATCTACAGGTTTTAACATTACATTCTGCAGCTTTTGGCAGAATTTTAAGCCAGTACAAAAGTATTTATTATTGAATAAATGGGAAGGCAAGTTGCATGATCTTAACAATATCGGTTAGCATTATAAGACTCTGATTTATAATTCTAATAATTATCAACAAATCAAAAAAAATGTTCTGTAATTTATCAGACTTAGTTAAAAGATGGGTACCTGTATCTGGAACGTACACAACTCTAGCAAAAGCCAGTTCATTATGCATCATAATTACGTTACTAGCAGGTGACAATATATTGACCAGCATTGTTAAAACGCTTTATTTTGTTTGGGCATGATCTGTTTCATATCACTGTGAGCGTCCGCTTATTATTTAGAAAGTTCAATATGTCCCGCGCAATAACAATCACGACAAAAGACAAAACCATGGATTCAGCACGTCCAAAACCTTCGCCTGAATAAAATAACACTAATGTAGCAGCTTCCACTTATGGAGACAAATAATCCAGAAATACAATTTATAAGTACATAACACCCAACATGCAGATCAAAATGGAACGTTTAGGATGAAAAGTGGTAATTTTCTCAGGGCAACTCTACTTACTGGGAGTCGCCATTTTCACCGGAACCCGATGTTGATATTCTAAATTTAAAGACGGAAGGTGCATTATTCATTCGGACCGGACCAGCGATACAAGATTGTATGAAAGACATAGTAATGTATAGCAAATATTACTACAATTTTATTTTAACAAAGAATTAAACTGCATCATACAATCGGCTCGCTCAGGGCCTGATAATGAGTAAAATCCACCCATATCGGTAGAAATGTCAAAAAATATATATGGGGAGAAACACCGACCCCATAATTAAGTAAATTTCGTAAATTTTATAAATCTGATAATCTTAGAGGAACGTTAAGTTCATCTGTATCTTCTGAACTCTGCTACTATTCATATGAACCACAACCAGGAATGCCGGTTACGGCAGCCCTTGGGGACTAATAGTCTACCAGCAGTGTCTTTACGCCAGACACACAAGTGAATAATAGCACCTTTAAATACAAATTTAGATAAGATACAGTAGAACCAAACAAACAATTAAACTTCATTATAAACAATATGGAAAAATGACAGATACTAATTCAGAATTCAAAACTGAAGAAGACATTTATAGAGATGATTAAAAAGTTAATTTAAAGATTTTTTTTCAGCGAAAAATGACTGTACAACTCAAAAGTTCGGCCTCGGTGCTTCTCCGATTCTATTGCTTATAAAATATAAAAATTCGTTAAAGCATAAAAAATTGATGAGTTTGTCAAGACTGGTATACAGCCAGTTTTGATCGATTACAATACTCATTCTTCAGGGTATGATCGCCATTGTGCCATTTTCAAGACAAGATCTTGTTATCATTATTTTCTCGATATTCTGTTAAGTCAATAGTAAGACAAGACTTCAATTTCTTTGTTATATATAGTCCACAAATAAAACAAGATAACGCAAAGCCCACTTCACTACTGTTACTGATATTTCTATGTATACAATCTTTTAATACCGATGCTTTGATATACGCAAATAAAATGATAACACAATGAATAACTTTATTTGATAAAATTTATTATTTTATACAAATATATATGTTACTTATAAAATTGAAAAAATTCGCCAATGATTAATGTTTTTTGCCAAATCACAGGAAAGCTTCCCAAGTAGCGATATGCACAAAGAGAAAGCTAACTTGTACAAAATATCAGGTAGGCTTTGAACAATTTTGTTGCCATGGTCTGGAAACAGTGAAATTTGTAATTTTGCTTATCTGTTTCTAATGGTGACATGGAAACCAGGAAGCAGTACAATTTGTAGAGATTTGCCGGTTTCCATGGGCACCATTTTTTTTAAAAAAAATATCGCTTCCCTATAACAAAGGGCAGTATCAAAAAAATAAATATAAAAAAGATATCTGTTCAACGTTTGGAGAAGTGATGTAGAACGGTTTCAGAGCTCGGGCCAGAAAAATGCCCATGCACGGACAAAGCCCAATTTAATAGACATCGCAAAATGGTTTCGCGAGGGATAAGTACGGACAACTTATGAACACACGTCGCATTAAAAATGCTGCGGTCTCTTTCATCGAAATGTTTCCTCCGGAAAAATAAAGGCGCGTCAAATAAGTGACTCCAACTGCCTTCAGGAAGGCCACTATCCTGAAATGTTGTTATCGCTTCTTCTTCTGTACAGAAATCCCAGGGAGGTAAAATACAGTATTATATGTCCCTGGAAATCCATATTGCAAAAGGACACATAATAAATGTTGTTCGCATTTTTCCCCATCACGTATATATCGTATCGTTATCGTTGTTTAATATCAGGGACGTACAATACATCCCTGTTATTATTAAATACTTGTCAAAATCCGTTACGCCCTAGATTTTTCAGTCCTACGATATTCTTTTTTTTTCCAAATTTATGAAACATCGGATGATTTCAGCATTTGACATATTGTGGTGACATTGTAAATATCACGAGGGATTAATTTTCAGTCAATGACATCACAGTGAAGTCAGGTATGTTTAAGACGTTGAAACAGTTTAACAAAAACAACGAGCTCTAGTTATTATCAGCATTACTTTTATTCAAAAACAGTTTAATAGCATTCCTTATTTCTCCAGTCAGTAACTTCGGTGTAAGCTTACAAGCAAGAGCGTTTTCTATGATGTGATATGATAAGATTATGGACATTTCTGCTTCGAGTAGAATATATTCATGTCAAAACAGTCATCATGCTTGTGTAAATATCATTTAAATGATTGTTGGTGACTTCTTACAAAAGCATATAATTATATTTTGTAGAGTTGTTTTGTTAGACTAAAAGAAAATCAATACGGCTGTTTTGCTGAAGGTCACCTTTAAAAGGTTCCACCTACATACCGAAAATATCGATGAACATAGGAAGCCGCGAGTGTGCGTCATTTGTCACAAGTTACCTCCCTTAGAGGAACTCGTGACATGTAAATCACATGATCAATAACCTTTCAAGATGGCGAAAAGTAAGGTGGATATGCGCTCTCTGAACGGACCTTTAGACGAGCTTGCGGCACGAAATACACACAAACTTGCTATTACGAGGGATTATATTTCACAACCTAGGCTAAGTATGTTTGAATTTTATTCTAGATTGTTCATTTCCTTGTTATATTTTTTACTATTGCACGATTACAAGTTTCACTTTTAGCTGTCGGTCAGCTGGTGACCGGCTGTGATATAATTTGATGATAAGCTAGTACGTGTTCGGTAGTTTGTACCGGGTAGCATTGGAATTCACGGGACTGACCTCTATTGAAAGTCCTTACCTTGACAAGTCGGGAATACGTTCATAGATAAGTTATGTCACTCGTTACTTGGTACAAAAATGGGACGACGACTGTGCGCAATTTATCCGAATTTTAGATAGATCTCCATGTCAGTATTTTTTGACAGTTTTGAATAATTTTCAACATAGAGAGACCATATCGGTGACTTGCAATGTCTTACTAACAAAATGTTTGTCAAACATGTTTATTTTAAGTGTATATCGTGATAATTAGAAGATGATCTCAATATTAACTTGGCACAAGAATTTGTTGCAAAATGTCTGTACGTACCAGATTTTCTCATGGCCCAGCACTTAGTGCTAGCCATATTAATGGACGGTTGTTTGAAGTAGGATGAGAACATGCCTATAAGAAAATCCAGGACACTAATTTTGGTACTGCAAAAACTGGAAATGTCAAATAAAGCATAGGAAATCAGTTGTTCTAACAAACAACAATTGGGTATTTTTAGGATTTTTTTTGTTATCAATAATAAATTGATTAATGATCATTCATGTATCAACTAGCAAACTCAAATTGCTTGAGGTTTGCAATTGAAAATCTTAGCATGCTAGCCCACCTCATACTTGCTTATACTTTGTACACCTACCACCAGATATCTTATTAGGAGTAAATTTGCTTCATAATCATAGTCTGTGTATTGCTTATTCTAAACAGAAATTTCATTGAAAGTTACATCCAGTAACTTCATGGTTGATTGTGAAATAATTTGATTATAGTTGAATGGACTTGGACCAAGAATCAATGATTAGTCATTGTCATTAATTAGCAAGAAAACGGTAGATGTTAAGAAAATAGATCTATACATATTAGTAAATCATATCAACTGCAAATTTCATATCCTCTCTTCATTTTCTCTAGTAAAATATCACTCCGAATAACATCTTATTTACATCTTTCTGTCTTATCTTCTTTCCTTAGCATTAGTTTTCATATTGGTGGGCCTATGATTGAAGTGATTGAAAATTAGTTGAAAAAAAAATTGATTGAACATTGAGGATTATTTTGAAAAACCAGTCAATTGTGTGAAAGCATTTGTAAAATTTTCAGCTTTTCATCATGAAACTTTCTTATATTGTAATTTAACCAAGCCTAGACCTAGTCTTTTTGTTTCTTAATTCAACATATTCATTGGTAGTATAAAGTGGAGGAAAGATATTTTAAAGAATGGTAAGTTCTTTGTGTTAAGTATTAAACAGTATGGAAATACATACGAAATACAGATAAATCAAAATGGCAAATAGCACACCTTATTTATTCATTTTTTACAATTGCAGTTCAGTGCTAAATTTAGAAAAAAAATTAATTATAATTGATTATTGATCGATTGTGTGTTTTCCATTATTGATTGTGATATTGAAACCAATTCCCATCACAAGTGCTACCACACTCAAAACTTATTATGATCATTACTCTCTGAGTCAAGGTTAGTCTTTATTTTGTAGATGTTAATTATACAAAACAATGACTTTAGTGTCAATTACAATGTTTTGATATTGTGGTACAGTGAGATGTTAATCAATTTGTCATCATTGAGAAGCCATTAAGTTCAGTGTCACTCAAATTTATAACTTTTTCTTCAAAAGCTTTACTTTCAGATAACTACATTGTGTCCAATTAACTATTTAAGATGGTACATGTATGTCAATAGTGATTTCAATTAAAAAAACTGAAGATATCAACCTGGATGGTTTTCAAATGTTTTTTGGTGAAAGCGATGAAAGACATTAGTGCATGTTGTTATAAATGTACTAGGGTACTGATATTTGATATCAGGGTTCCTATGGGGTTTAACTATCCCTTCCTTGGGTTGCTTTAAAAAAAGGAGAGTGAGTGTTTTGGAAATGTTTTGGACTTAGATTTTTCGGTGTCAAACAAGATTTAGCAGTGGAAGTGTTAATAGACGTTAGTACATCTCTTTATGATTTTACCATGTAAATTTTGGTATCAGAGTCCCTGCGGGGTTGACAATCCTTTTCATCGAGTCTAACAAAGTCTAAGGGATGGGTGGAGGAGGGGGGCACTGCTCAGACATTTCTGAGGTCATCATGAGCTATGCTGTTCTGCAAAAGGTCTTGTCTTTTCACATTGTTTCTTTTTTGCATTTGATTTTTTAATGTACAACCTAAACGTAACATAAATTTGAGAGCCAAAATCAGAAATTGAATATTATTTGCATGATTAGTGTATTTATGTATTTTATAATTTAAATTTCATGAAACAGATTTTTAGATAAACTAACAGTGTATCAACGTGGTATTGATCTACATATTTGCATTATACCCTAGATGATATTTTAATAGGGTTGATTTTGTAGAGTTCCTGTAATATATGCAGGACAGCCAATAATGCTATTTATAAGGGGAAAAAAATGTAATATTTATTTCATATCCATATAATTCTGTTATGCATGTTTATCATAAAGAAAAAAATATGTATGTACTGGTTTTTTCATTTTCTTTATTTGTACTAGTGTTATTGTACATTTACAGATAATTATGAAAGCTATCATTAAGACACTATCCTGAAAAACAGGAATCATATAACATTAATATATGTTTCTGCCAATTGTATATCCAATTGTTAGTCTGTATAATAATATGAATTAATTATTGTGTATGAGTGAAAACTTGTTCTTAGTTTTGTAAAAGTAACTCTTTTTTTAACTTTTCAATGTTTTCTACTTTTAGCAAAGACATGCATTTTGAACACACATCCATGAATTTTGAATGTTGATCCTTTATTTGATTTTTGATGCTTTCTCAGAAGCCAAGTTTTTTTCAAAGATTTCATTTGTTTAAGTACCATTTAAAATCCAAAAATTTTCTTTAGTTTCACAATTAATGTAAATTGTACAAATTACTGCCATACTGTTCCAAACTTTATAACAGTCTCTCCCAGACAGTCTACAGGTGCAATCAATGTACCAGTCAAATGCATAGCTTTAAGGATTTCTACATTCCTACGACAGGTATAAGGTGTTTTTGTTGCTGGTCGTGTAATGTGTTCTTGTCCTGTTAAAATTCAACACCATAAGAACATTCTTAAATCACAACATAGATGATTTGTCAAGTAGAAGCCATGAAAGTATAGCTTGATTGGTAGAACGTAGGCCAAAGTAACTTCAGGTGAGAATACAAGGTGCTTAGTTCTTGACTTCATGTCCATGGCAGTTTGTGTTTCTCAGTAAGCTGAGAGACAAACTGGTTTGCACTGAAATGGTTGTGTCCTTGGGCAAAACACTCTACTCTGATTGTTCTGGATGACATGTGATAAAACTCTTGTGTTGTTGAGTTTCATGAGGTAGCAACTAGCTAATACCCAATCATAAAATGACCCTGGTGGTTAATTAGTTGATAAACACACAAAATTGAAAGAGAAGTATGCTTATAAGTACATGTATTTTAGACTTCAATGTTTTAAGTATCTTCAACTGTTCTGGACAAGGTTTGAATGTCCTCAAGTGCTATAGCAAATCAAGGAGCGGTGTCAGCATGTAAGCTTGCTCTTTGCTTCATATTTAGTAACAGAAAGTGTTTTAGACTGTGAAGGTACATGTAAGATATACATATTATGAAACAAAGGAAACCACTGGAGTGTCCCAACTCAGTCATCTAGAATTCGGCTTGACTGTCATAAAGCCTCGATATTGATCCAGCGATATCTTGCTTCTGCAGTTCACCCCCAGCTTGGAGACACAGACCTGAGAACTGATGAAAAATGCTCGGTTGTGATTTAATCAATATAGCACTCCGAAATCCTTTAACGGAACGATTGTTTCGGAAATAGTATTGGCATTTTCAGAAGTGGGACTTAAGGCTATTGTGAATGTTGTTTACATAGTTTATAGGATGCTCACTAATTAATCCTGCTTGTCAGCGTACGTTTACAAGCACTTCTTGTGTTATGTTTCTCCATCAGCGTTTATTTGAATTCGGGATTTATGCACATGTTGCTGTTGTTTTCCATTGAAAATAAACATCCAGACATAGAAAATATGACTATGGCATTACTTTCCTGGTTGGTCAGGTGGAGAGTGGTAACTTAGCAGTCAGGGGTTCAATCCCGTATGTGAAAAGGTAAGGGGGTCACCTGTCTGACCACGTAGGTTTTCCTGGGGTACTCCAATTTCCTCCAACGTATGAGCCAACAAGAGTGATTACTATAAGTTGAAATAATTTGTTTCACAATTGTTGTACAAAATAGAAAAAGTTTATATTTTCGTACTTTCCTGGTAATGATGTCTGCATTGTGTTAAAGTAGACATTGTCAAATCCTTATTTGAAGACACCTCAAATTTAAACAACAAGACAGTAATCACAAATCTACATATTTTCTAGACTTTACCCCTGAATTTTAAGGTAGTGAACGAGTGCTAAGATATAATTTGTGTATATAACTAACAAAAAAATTTTTCAAAGATTATGTCTCATGTTTTCTTCCTCATTTCTGTGTGTAAAAATTTCTGCATTTTCTCACTCCCTTATTCAGACAGAAACTGATGTGACTTTAGAGTAAACAACATACCAGGAAAAAAAATAACTTTCATTTGAAATGTTGGAACCTTTCTGCCTTAAGTGTAAACTTGATAAAGAACTGTTTATTGAACACCCCTGTTATCACTAATCTAGAAAGGTAACATTTTGTTGGTGTGTATACATACTGTACATGGGGATTGTTCCAGATAACACACTTCACTTCATATCCTGCTGTCAGTATGTTATCAGGATATGACTGTGCATGGTGTTGCTTTACATAATCATAGTAATTTTCATATAAATTTTTTTCCATTATATACTACAAAAGATTTCCCTTGGTCGTTCACATTTACAGGGTTTTAAAAGAACAAAAAGAATATTTTTTTTTTTTAAAACAGTCATAAACATAGCTTTGATTCCCTGTATTATCAGCAAAAAAATTTGTTTTAAGGGTACCTAATTTTTCCTGATTTTATTTCATCCTCATTTAAAAGAGTGAATTTAGAACACCTGGAAAATAACCTTTACAGAATGTTATAAAAAATCCTTCACAATGTCGTAATTTGTACTATATATGACATTCTATCTAAGGATCCATTTGAGTTGATACGACAGAGCTTGAGTTGCTGGCTTCTAATCATAGACATATCACTTTGTTCAGAATATCTATACTTTACCACAGCCTCTTGGATATATTAGACTTCACTAGATCATTCCAGGAAGTAGATAGGTGCTGATATAGGTGTCAGGATCCTGGTATACCTGTATATAACTTGCCTGAAGCAATACATTTCTGAGTCATATATGTTTATGTTAGATCCTGCAATGTTAAGGATATGTGTGTAAACTTTTCATTTTCTTTGGAATGATTTACATGTGTAGATCTATCTAGAGTGTTTGTTTTCTTTTAAAATCAGATTTCTACCCACAGCCACTTAGAAAATAACACACACCTTCCTTTAATCATGAAATTTTCTTAAATTCTTCAAATGAAGAGGGAAAAATATGGAACACCATTTTTGTTATAGATACATGTATATCATATTTATCTTACTTGAAAGCTTTATTGCATTCAAGTTTTAATAATGAAAGTTTATAATGATTCTAGTTTCAAGCAAAATTCATGTACCACACCCATTAGGCACACATGTTCCTATAAGTGCCCCTCCCCCAAATATAAGCTCCTAACACAACATCTCGGTCAGTTTTGGTACTCACTATTGTTCATAATGGGAGAGATTTTATGTGTATTTCAGCAAGACTGATAGTTAACAATGGTAATTATTCTCAGTCTTAATGAAGAAAAGCATTCTGTGTCTGTTAAATAATTTTGATCTTGTCAAAAAATGTCCTATTAAATCCCCCTTCAATGTTAGATACTTGCAGCATCCTGGACATGTAATGACTTAAATCTAGTATCTACAGCATGTGTAGTATTAGTATGAGAGTCTTGAGTGATGTTGGTTGATGAAGACTATGGGGAAGTTTTATGGTAATTACCATGGTAACATGGAGACACCTTGTTGGATGTGTTTGATGCTCATTAGTATGGGTTTATTTGTCTTCTATTTCTCATTACTTATTTCTATTACTTATTACTTTTTGTAATTTTTCTACTGTGTATATAAATCTTTCTTTTTTCCCCAAGCCATGTTACATCTATTTGGTGTTTAAAGTAAGATTCTTTTGAAATATTTGTATTTTTTGTTTTATTTTGTTGTTATTATGAAATCTTTATGTAAGAAACTTTGTATATATATTTAGATTTCCAAACACTTGCAGTAAGGTCATATTTACTTGTTAATTTTTGTATGATATGGTCCCTCACATCTCCATTATTCAAATCGTAGTCATATTAACATCTTAAAGATCCACCATCAAATATCAATGCATAATTTCAAGGCCATATTATTCCAAGTCCTGTCAACTGTACAGAAACTTAATGGAAAACTCACTCATGTATTTCATCGTTGAAAATGTTAAAATACTGAAATTTATTTTCTATTTTCTGATACATGTACTCAAATATTTAGATACTTATTTATAAAATATCATATTTTGAAGATTTCATTTAATTAGATTCTAATGAATACAGCATGTCCTACCCTGACTGTCCTTGCTGTAGATATAAACCAACATGCAAAGCACAGCTGGTACAGTGTAACACATGTAACAGTACACTTTGTATGGTTTATCTTTGATTTAAATATATTTTCTATCATCTGTTTATTTTTCAGCCTACAAAACAGTATCTGGTGTGAATGGACCCTTGGTTATTTTGGACGATGTAAAGGTAGGTTGAAAACTGTTAAAATTGAAAAGAGTATATGCTATAACAGATAAACAACTGATTTTACCATTAATAAGCAAAAGGAAAGAAATTAAACACTTAAAAAATAAATTATTCTGAGGTTAAAATGTTCATGATTATACCATTGTCTTGATTTAGAATTGATGATTGAAATAAAACAGATAAGAAAATAAGATTCTACAATAATCATATCAGGTAATTAGTATTAATCATAACAGCATCAGAGTAGGGTTTTTTTAAAATTCTAAACTTTATAAGAAACAAAGTGTGTCTGAAAGTGAACAAAATGATGCCATTGTTTGAAAGGGAGATAGTAGGACAACCACTTTACACTATCTTCTGTAGCATTTTCATCTGTTGACATGTACATGTTTTACTTCTGTCCATAGTTTCCAAAATTTGCTGAGATTGTGCAGTTGACCCTTGCTGATGGCTCCCAGAGAAGTGGTCAGGTGCTGGAGGTCAGCGGGTCAAAGGCCGTTGTCCAGGTAAGAAGTACCCTCGTTCTGTCATGGTTTTCAATTTGAATTTTAACATTTCTTACATGATGCAAACAGTGCCTTCAAATGACCTTGGCCGTTGATATGATCAGGTTAGTGTAGTCCTGATTATGACAGATCTATGTCAAGTACGAAGGCAAAGTGTCATAGGATAGACTTACTGTGTAGTATTAAATGTTTCTCGTATAATATATTTCATTGTTTCCATGGCTATAAACATACCATGAAAATCAAATACAATGGTAATAATACTAGAAATGAAGGGATTATCCTCAGAAAGTTTTTGACATTTGAAATTAAAAATCATTACGAGTATTTTGCCTACTGAGACTGTCATTTGCAGTAAATATTTTTGCAGTGATCTGTATGTATCTGAAAAAAATACCTACCTGTACACAGTAGCTGTCAATTTATGATACAAAATAAATTACCCACAAACATTTAGTGTTGAAAAGCACTTAAGGAAAGAAGAAAATGGATAAGCCTAACCCAACCATTTTCTGTCTAGTATTTTAGTGTCAGTTCTGCTGTAAAAAGCTTGAGGAAGAATTTGTAAAATTTGCTACCTTATGTACTATTTGTAAAACTTCCTTAAAGAAAACTGAAATAAAAATTCACATTTCCTAACAGTAACCTTAAATATTCTGGTATGTTATACATGTATAATGGAATCACTGCTTCAGGTGTTTTAGAGAAACAAGTATGTGTTCCATAATTTTATGTTCAGGGCACGTATAAATCTTCAAACATGATACCTAAAGGCTAGTAACGATTACATGCTGGGTGACTGGAAAAAATCCACATTTACTATTACAAAGAAAATGAAAGGCAGACTTGTAGAATTTTGAAAATCAACATATGAGCTATGAATATGGTAAATTATGTATTACATGTGTCATCTTTTGTATTGTTGTTTGATTTGTGGAGACTCAGTTGCTTACCAATCACAGGTCTTCACAATGAATAATCCATGCCAGGGTTTAGAAATACTCCAATGGATGTTTCCTGACAATATTAAAACAAACTTCTTTCATTGTTGAAATTTTTTGTGGGTTTTACCAAAGGGTTGCAGTAGAAATGACATATTTTTGATGGAAGTTATGGAATGACCTATGAGTTTCTCTATTGATTTAATTTTTAATGTTCCAATCTACTTCAGTGATTTTAATCAGTGCTTTAAATTAGCAGAAAATAGAACCCTGGGTACAATAAATAGTGTTACTGTGGTGCTGTTTTAGAGGCTTAACTGCACTATTTGAATGTAAAACTAGTTTTAGGGTCTTATGCGGTTCAGCTGTCGTTATTTTCAGCTTGTCTGATTATTTCATTATTTCTTGGCCTGAACAAGGCAACCAATATTAGTTTCTACTGTCATTTTCTGTTAGATGTGTTTTCATTTATCAGTGTCATCATTGTACAAATATTTCCTAAGAAATTATATTATGTCATGGGACATCTTTAAAATCCAAGGGTTCCGTTTTCTTTGCGTTGAGGAAACAAAGATCTAAGCTGTGTTTGTGCCTTGATCTATATATTGACCTAAACATTTTCATCAGCTGATATAAGCAATAATTGTTTTACAGTATTTATGTACATTGTATGTTATAATGTCTGCCAGAAAGTACACCATGGTTTCTTTCTCAAACAATTATTTTCACATGATTTTTTTGTTGATTAAGTTTACAATGCTCAAGATTAAAAGCAACTGTGAAGGTATTCTTTATCTCATTGTTAAATGTATGTTAAGCTTAGTCTCAAGCTGACATAAAAGTTTACCTTTAGGGATACTTTTTAATTTAAAACATGTGACATTAAGATTGTATGGCAGTTATTTCAAAGAATATGTCTTCTGATTTACAATGTCTTGAATAAATTTTTCAAAAATAATATTAAAAATTTCACTTAGATATGATGTAAAGGTGACAAATCTTCCAAAAAGGCTCCAAATTTAAGTCTGGGATCCACAGAGACTTTATCAGCTGACGGATGGCTCAATTTGTTTGTTTTCTGTGCTAAATTGTTATCATACTTGGTAACAGAACTTTGTGACCTGCTCCTAGCTCACATAGCCCAAATTTAGACTGAGGTGCTTAGGAATGTTCCTTCGTGCATTAATGTAGGTTCCACATTAAATACCTGTGTTTCAGTTACCCTCTACAAACAGATAGCTTCTGTAGAATTTTGTGCCCACCCTATAGATTTTTCACATGAAGGTCAGGACATGGAAATCAAAAGTCTACCTCTGTAATCTCTTATATTCAAAACTCAAATTGTGTAATGGTATGCTTTGTAAGTTGATGATTCAAAATTTTAAATCTTAATTTAGATTCAAATCATTACTTTTCTCAGCCATAATCCCATATGAATGAAATTATATTTCCATCCAAATTACATATTTCTGAGTTTTGCAGCCAAATGACATTTCACTGTTAAAGTTAGAAAAATGAAAGCAATGAATCAAGCCTTAAATCAATACTATACGCTGGAAAAAAATGTATTGTTGAAGTTTCATTTTCTAAATTAAAAAAATTCTGCCTTCAATTACGCATTTTTCTGTTTAAGCTGAAACATGAGATAAATACCGTATTTATCAGAATGTGTACCATATTTTTGGGATTGTAAGCTGCACTTTCTTCCATGTGAGTTGAGTGTGTGGCTTTTATACCTATGCGGTAATTAAAAAATGTATGGTATGTGGACAATCATAAGGAATTTACTTTTACCTAGACTAAAACTAAGTAATACATGATCTGATGACCCACTTAGACTCAAAATAGTTGGTCAGAATTTTATTTATGGTCAGCAGGACTGAACTAATCGGTGATAAACAGAATGTGGAAAAAATTATATCAGATTGCAACCTGTTGATTACAAAACACATAGCACAAGATTGAAAAACTGTTCTTTAATTAACCCTTGTGGTCAGTCTTTTGACTTCCTAGTATATACTGGTATGTAAGCAAAACTAAACTCAAATGTTCCTCAAAAACACAAACTTCCATAGATAGGATTGTCATCTTTTTGGACACATAGTTCAATGCTACTTAACCATAGTTGTTTGTGTTTCTTAGGAAGCTGAGAAACGGTCTGTGCTGACATTTATTTGTCCTTTGGCATGACACTTTAACCTATTTGCTCTGAATGGCATGTGATAGGCCTCTCATATGTTATTCAGTGAAGTAGCAACCAGCTACTACAAGGAGACTCCGCCTCAAAATAACTTTGACCCTTCACAGGGCGATAAATGCATCAAAACAAATGAGTATAACTTATATAATACCGTGTTTTGTAGGTGTTCGAGGGAACACATGGCATTGATGCAAAACACACCACCTGTGAATTCACTGGAGATATTCTCCGAATGGCAGTATCTGAAGACATGTTGGGTATGTTCATGAAAACCTCTGAATCTCACAGTTTTTATAAATTGATCATAACTTGTTGGGTTTGGGGTTGTTATACTGTATATATTCACCATGGGAGCTTAGCCTAGCAGATTTTAAAACTTTTCAGATGAAGTGTCTTTGTTTGTGGATACTATGTAGATATACAGTGAAAATACAAATACATGTATCTTTAATACAAGGCCAAATCTTATAGCAAAATATAACACATATTGACCCTTTCATCTTTTTCTTTTCAAACATGGTTCTTCACATGGTTAATTTGATTGTACAAATGGTTAAAGATATGGTTTTCTCTTAATTGAAGTTTAATTCATAATTTCAAACAAATCCTTATGTACATTGTATATAATTAAATTACAATGACAAACTTTCTTTATGAATATGACAACTTTCCATCTTGTGTCAACTTCTCTCTGAACCATTAAATGATAAAACTATCAGATATGTGGGAGAACTAGCTGATCATTGTACAGGTGAACACAAATCTTTACAAGAATGCAGTTTGTTGTGTCATTCTAACCACCATTTCCATCCCATTGTGTTGTGTTGACAGGTAGAGTATTCAATGGGTCTGGTAAACCTATAGACAAAGGACCTCCTGTAGTAGCAGAGGATTTCCTTGATATTCAAGGTATGTTATTAAGATTCCTTATTATCATTGAAATAAAAATCAAAAACACTTTTGTTTCATTGCATTCAAATAGTTCTTACTTGACCGAGCAGTGGTTATACTGTAATATTAAGTTATGATAGTTATAAATAACTACAAGAGATTTAGGATTGTGAGAAACAAGATCTCTTGACTCATGATACAATTACTTCATACCATATAGCAAACAGCCTATTACACAATATGTAATAGAGATATAAAATAAAGTAGAGGTCAGAAGGTTAAAGATTTTTTTTCCTTGATAGATTTGAAAGAACTTAAAATTAATCATAGCACAGTCAAGTTGAGTTATATAAGTAAAATCAGAAAAGAAATATCAGAATTCCATTCTGTGTTACAGTGAAAGGAAAAATTTCCCTACAGAATTTTGAGGGACTTCATTATGAACCATCAAGTGTGTTTGTAGCAAGTTTATTCTTGTGATGAATTTCTCCAGATTATGGAAGAATATGAGCATATGCATAATAAATCAGGTGAACATTGACAAGTATGAAATCCATCTTGAATATTGTTATTTATGATCTCACTCTATATAAAACAGGTCAACCTATCAACCCTTGGGCTCGTATCTACCCTGAGGAGATGATACAGACTGGTATCTCCGCCATCGATGGTATGAACAGTATTGCCCGTGGACAGAAAATCCCCATCTTCTCTGCCGCCGGTCTTCCACATAATGAAGTGAGTAGAGATTTTAATGAGAAACAATTATACATCAATTTCAGTTTTATTTGTTCAGTATGTTTCGTATGTTTTCATAAATTGTGCTTGTCAGATTAGTCAGTAATCTTAATTCTTAATTATTAAACAATGATTATTTGAATTCAAACATCCCAGAAATAATCTTTTTTTTAGATATTTAGGGAAAGGAAATAGAACATGTTCGTTATTAGTGCTTTTTTTGAAGTTAGATATGCTCAGAATGCCATTACTCAGAGGATAAAAAGTCTTTAGTTAGTTGAAACCTTCCTGTTTAAGTTATGTAATTTTGTGTGTCTGTAGAGTTACAGTACAGATGAACACATATTACAAACCTGAAAACAAATTTGAGGTTTGTGCTACAGCTTCATCTGAACCTGACTTACTAATTTACCCAACAAGTCTGGGGACAAATGAAATATATTTTTCAAAATTGTCCTATTAAAACTCAGAAATTAACCTTGTTAAATATAGGGAATTTCACGTTAATTGCTACATTTTTTTTAGGTAAATGTTCCAATTTTTAAAAATGTAAAAAAAATCACTGCCTATAGTTTAAAAATTAATAACATTAGAATGTTTGATGGTTGCTTGGTTACAGATTGCTGCCCAGATTTGTCGACAGGGTGGTCTGGTAAAATTGCCTGGCAAAAGTGTCCTGGATGATCATGATGACAACTTTGCTATTGTGTTTGCTGCCATGGGTGTAAGTACTATATTCCATACTGACTGTTTGAGCTAAAGTAGTAGTATTTGATGGTTAAATGGTGGTTTCAAGGCAAGGTTTATGATTTTGGTACTGATCTGTAATATCACAAATAAAGTCATATTTAATCACTCAAAGTGACGACAAAGAGCAGATTTTAATAAACATTACCAAGATATACCTCTTCTTGTCAAGATCTAATAAGTTACGTGTAATCACTGAATATGTATACAACAGACTTTTTATAACATTCATCAGACAGTATTTTAGAGTGTCTCTCCCTAGCATATTCCTTGATTTGTATCCTACCTCTTGTCTCTGTTATAAAAGTTAATGGTCATTTGTGATAAAATTGTTTACAGGTCAACATGGAGGCCGCTCGTTTCTTCAAACAGGACTTTGAGGAAAATGGTTCTATGGAGAATGTGTGTCTCTTCCTAAACTTAGCAAATGATCCCACGTAAGTAGCTGCAGTTAGGCTCTTGTATCTGTTCAGAAATAACAATATATCTGACATGTTTTCTTAAGGGTTGTATGATCATTTCTATTAAAATTCTTATCTGTGATGAAATACTGAATTTCAGTTTTGTAAAATAAATGCTTTCTGCATTTACGAATTACCATGTAAGATTCATTATATATAGATTGTATTATCAGGCTCCATATATTGTAATATTGACTTTTTCAGGATCGAGCGTATTATCACACCACGTATAGCTCTCACAGCAGCAGAGTTCATGGCTTACCAGTGTGAGAAACACGTTCTTGTAATCCTCACTGACATGAGTTCCTACGCTGATGCTCTCAGAGAAGTGAGTACTACATAGTGACAAGCATGTTGAGCTCCCTTTGCACCAGAACTGTTATTTATCTATTTTATTTAATAAATTGACCCAAATTCAACGATACATATATTATTTATTCCATATGTTACTTGCTCAACATTTTTATTGAAATTGGTATTGATGTCAATTGGTTGATGCTGGCTGTATTTCCAAGTCAATTTTTGTAACATTGTTGTATAGATTACACTGGTTGTTATTTATTTATAAGACACAATTTCCCACCTATAGGTGTCTGCAGCCAGAGAGGAAGTACCAGGTCGTCGTGGTTTCCCTGGTTACATGTACACTGATTTAGCCACCATCTATGAGCGTGCCGGTCGAGTAGAAGGCAGGAACGGATCCATTACGCAAATTCCCATCCTTACCATGCCAAACGATGGTACATATTTTTGATATTACACACATCCCAATCCTTACCATGCCAAACGACGGTGGATATTGATTGTGTTATGCAAATCCCCTTGAATGCCCTCTCTGTACAGTAGATGATCTTGTGTTGTTTGGATGTCCTCTCTATACAGTAGATGTTCCTCTGTTGTTTGGATGTCCTCTCTATACAGTAGATGACTCTGTGTTGTTTGGATGTCCTCTCTATACAGTAGATGACCCTCTGTTGTTTGGATGTCCTCTCTATACAGTAGATGACCCTCTGTTGTTTGGATGTCCTCTCTATACAGTAGATGACTCTGTGTTGTTTGGATGTCCTCTCTATACAGTAGATGACTCTGTGTTGTTTGGATGTCCTCTCTATACAGTAGATGTTCCTCTGTTGTTTGGATGTCCTCTCTATACAGTAGATGACCCTCTGTTGTTTGGATGTCCTCTCTATACAGTAGATGACTCTGTGTTGTTTGGATGTCCTCTCTATACAGTAGATGACCCTGTGTTGTTTGGATGTCCTCTCTATACAGTAGATGACCCTGTGTTGTTTGGATGTCCTCTCTATACAGTAGATGACCCTGTGTTGTTTGGATGTCCTCTCTATACAGTTAATGATCCTGTGTTGTTTGGATGAACTCTCTATAAAGAGGATGTTAGAAAGTATTTTGTACATGGATATATTTAGTAGCTTAAACAAAATCTCTTTTTTATTCTTAGGATATATATTGGAATATTTACTGAGTATATTCATCATATTGTAAATAGTTATCTAAATATCAAAATCTATTTCAGCTTCAACGATTGTTGGTTGGTTGTTATCAATATCTCACCTATACATACATACTAAATGATGTACAGACATGGACATTAATTAACATAAAAAGATTTTTAAGAATTCCGTTCGAATTTAATATTGATTTAAATGTATATGTATGAATTCAAATATAGTTCATGTTTGGTTAAGTACGTCTTACCAGTTATCTATCTATAGTAGTTCTTATTCCTCCTACAGACATCACTCATCCCATTCCTGATTTGACTGGTTACATTACTGAAGGACAAATTTATGTTGATCGACAACTTCATAATCGACAGGTAAGATATTATAGATATTTTTGTTTTCTGGACACCAAATATATTATTGTTCTACAGTCATTTGGATAAGCGTCTTTAGAAAGTATATAAATACACGGTCATTGGAGGTTATCATGTATTTTCATCTCTAAATGATGAGATCGGAAAAATGAAGTTACCAAAGATTGGAAATATAGAAGACTGACATATTTTAATTTAAGAATGGGTCTCTATAACAGATATGAAAAAGCTTCATATTTATGGTGTACTTTGAAACTGAGACTTTGAAGTAGCCTGGCAATAAACCAACGTCTGGTATTAAGCCCACTCATAGATATTGCTATTCAGTAAAATTGCAAGACAATGCTGTTTCATTGTCCTGTAATGAGCCTACTTCTTCACTTTGAATAGAGGAAGTGTGTTTGCCTCGCTGGGCTTACTGCAGGATAAATATGGATAAACAGATATTAAACACACAGTAAAACTTTTATATTGACACAAAATTGTCAGAGGTACCAACTCTCTTTTGTAGATATTCCCACCCATCAATGTGTTGCCATCATTGTCCCGATTGATGAAGTCTGCTATTGGTGAAGGCATGACAAGGGAAGACCACTCTGATGTATCCAACCAGCTGGTAGGTGGAGCTTCAATCAGTCATATTGTTGATATTAATTTAATCAACGTTAAAGATGATTAAATCATTTTTAAAAAAATTACTACAATTTTAAAGAGGTTACATGAAGTGATAAAGGTAAGGAAAGAATTAGCTTGAAAAATATTCTTTCTGTCTATTAAAAGTTAAAGATGAAAATTTACATACCTGTCACATGTGACTCGAATATATATACATAAAACATGTAATAAACAAATGCTTTCTCATCTTTGAAGTTTGTAAAATTCTACTAGAAGTGATCGTTATGAATGGTTCTAGGCATACATTTCTTCAGGAAATATTCAAGTCTTGTGTGCGTTTTATAATTTAGGACAAAGTTTATTTAACAATGTTGAATTTAACTATTTTGTTAGATCAATCTTTTAATTTTCAGACTTTATCCAAAAGTTACAAAACTTTCCAATACGTATTTTATTAGGGGAAAAAAGATGGCTTTCAGACCTTTTTTTTGTGGAACATTACAGATTGCATTGTGATATATGTAAGGGTTGTTTGTATGGAGTAAGACATGTACTAATAGCAAAGTGTAACCTAAATTTGTAATTTGTTATAGTATGCCTGCTATGCCATCGGTAAAGATGTTCAGGCCATGAAAGCCGTCGTAGGAGAGGAAGCCCTTACACCTGACGATTTACTCTACCTAGAATTCCTTACAAAGTTTGAAAAGAATTTCATCGCACAAGGTAACTCTTTTCTTAACTTGTGTATTAATGCATTTTCACATTTTTCTGTATTTTAATCAGTACACAGTAAATTTAATGTCTTTTAATGTCCCACATTTGCTACCTCACTCACCTAATTAATTTTTGACTTAGCATTTACCATAGAAGTTTTCCTTTATCACCAATATTTCCATGCCTTTATACTTTAATCCCCTTTATAATGTCATTCCTTTGCTATACTGCCAATTCGCCAAACACCTTCATTATGATTCTAAACCTTTATTCCGTTTGATATCATGCCAAACTCTATTTTTTGACAATAATAATCCTTTGTAATGTGAAATTTCCATCCATTTATGCACAACCAACATCTAAATCATGGTATTATTTTGTTGCGTAAATGTTTAACTTTGATGTAGGATGTCATATATACACATGACTATCCTAAGAAGCACGTAATATTTAATAAAGCTGCCATAATAGAGTGATTTATCTACATTTGTAAACGTGGAAAAACAAGAAAATTCCCTAGATAGCCACAGAAAAACAAGAAAATTACCTAGATAGCCACAGAAAAACAGGAAAATTCCCTAGACAGCCACAGAAATACAAGAAAATTCCCTAGATAGCCACAGAAATGCAAGAAAATTCCCTAGATAGCCACAGAAAAACAAGAAAATTCCCTAGATAGCCACAGAAATGCAAGAAAATTCCCTAGATAGCCACAGAAATGCAAGAAAATTCCCTAGATAGCCACAGAAAAACAAGAAAATTCCCTAGATAGCCACAGAAATGCAAGAAAATTCCCTAGATAGCCACAGAAAAACAAGAAAATTCCCTAGATAGCCACAGAAATGCAAGAAAATTCCCTAGATAGCCACAGAAAAACAGGAAAATTCCCTAGATAGCCACAGAAAAACAGGAAAATTCCCTAGACAGCCACAGAAATACAAGAAAATTCCCTAGATAGCCACAGAAAAACAAGAAAATTCCCTAGATAGCCACAGAAAAGCAAGAAAATTCCCTAGATAGCCACAGAAAAACAAGAAAATTCCCTAGATAGCCACAGAAATACAAGGAAATTCCCTAGATAGCCACAGAAATGCAAGAAAATTCCCTAGATAGCCACAGAAATGCAAGAAAATTCCCTAGATAGCCACAGAAATGCAAGAAAATTCCCTAGATAGCCACAGAAATGCAAGAAAATTCCCTAGATAGCCACAGAAAAACAAGAAAATTCCCTAGATAGCCACAGAAATGCAAGAAAATAACCTATATAAAGCATGTTAAATTTCCCAATTTTAAAAGGACAATTTAGAAAAGCATGTATCACTCATAATACGATTAATCGCTGTAATGAGATAAAAATTTTGTAGGAATTTTTCTTGTTTTTTGATGTGTACCATTTTCTAGCCTTTGCAAGAAAAGAAAATTCCTGGAAGGCAAAAAATATATCATTTTTGGCTGATATTTATAGCTTATTGTAATCAAAGACTAAGATTTTACTCCTAATATTTGCAGGACATTATGAGAATAGAACAATCTTCGAAACGTTAGATATTGGCTGGCAACTACTGAGAATTTTCCCAAAGGAGATGTTGAAACGAATCCCAATGAGCCAGCTGGCCAAGTATTACCCACGTGACGCCCACAAGCAACAGCAACAGAAGGCAGCAGAAGCAGCCGGTGAATCCAGTCAGCATAGTACACAGCTATAAAAGTTTTCCTATAGTCTTATCACCCATTGATACCAGATGTCTCACCGCGGTCTCTCATCAGCTGCTTACATTCCACACTATAACGCCTCAGTTCTGTTACTGTGTTTTTGAATGTGATGCAAATCTTGTGAAAATAAATTTCCAGTCCCTTCAATAGACCCTTCTGAAGACAACAACTGGAGAAATACATTGTACTTTTTGGTTAACTGAACAAGGGGTTTGCAGTTCCTTGAAACAAATAATAAATTACATAGTGGTTGTTTTTGAATGCTTCACTCCTAATAGAAAAAAATGTGTCTTTTTGCATTTAGATGATTTGAAATGTGAATAGACAGTTGTATAATAATATCCTATCACTATATCAATGTAAAATTGGTAACTTTTTAGTTTCTGTATTTCATCACTTGATTAGCTGTTAAAATATTGTTCAAGGATATTATCTTTGGAGGTTGTTATATAAATTTCATTTAAAAAGTGTTGTATGAGAATGTGTTTCTTTATATTCAACAATGAATATGATCAACATTTATCAATACTTCATGACATTTTCCCCATTACTAAATGGTGTATAGCTTTGTCCTTAGACTTTGCTGTTCAGTGTAGAAATTGCTTGACCACAATACAACAACTGAAGCTGAAAGTTATGATCAACCAGAAGAAAACAAGAAAAAAATAGTTTGGAATTTCAAAATGGAAAAAAGAATTGATTGTTAGTCTTCTCACAAAAAAGCAAAAAACAATACAAGGAATGTGTAATGGAAGACTATTTTTTATTTAAACTTTGAATCAGAGAGGGACCAATCTAGCATAGTTTGTAGGGGGGAAAGTCTTGGGATATTTTGATATTGGTGAATTAAAATGTAAATCAATATTTTGCTGGATCTTTTTGAGGAAAATTGGTAATTTAAACTTATGGTGATTTTACAGGGTTTGTGCTGGGAATGACTGACAAGTTCTAAGTTTTGGTTCAGAACTTGGAATATTTTGCTATGGTTTACCAAGTAACATCCTTTTTAATGTCAGTCTGTTACTATTTCATCAACGAACAATTATTGATCTATTTTTGCTGATCAAACATGAAGAAATGCCGCATAGAACACATACAAGGGGAGAGAACTTGGTAAAGGGGTATTCAATGAGGCCAGTCAGAAATGAAGTAGGAAATATATGAAATGCATGATTACTAAATCGAGAATCAAATTTGATATACCGCTCATGAGCAACAGTTATCTCATAGATTTATTCCACTATATGATATTACAAAATTTATGAAATATACAAATGTAATATAAGACAAAAATTGCCGTTTGCATTGTGCTTAACTTTGAAAGTGAAGGTAGTGTATTTTGATTTTTCTGATTTGAGAATATTTCTCAAAAAAATATCAATAGTCCTGGAATTTTGAATTTTGAATGGAATTTAAAATAGTCAACTTCCTTTCAATGGTGCATGTAGATCTCTTAGATTGAATGTCAATATATATATATATATATATGCAGTACAAAAATATTAACAAGGAAATGTGTTATAGATTGATTAGTGTAAAAGATGTTTTTGTGATGTTAAGAGGTAGAATTGTACATTGTGGGTGAGAAATGTTGTTTATTTCATGACTGTTTAAATGTATATTGTACATGTAATGAAAATAGATATTGCTTAGAAATAGAGTATAGTGTTACCTTCAGTGAAATAAATAAATTGTTTTCCAGTACCAAAAATTTGAATCCAATTATAAAATTGAAAGCCAATGAATAGGGTTAAATAGGTTTGAATCAACACATGCGGTCCATTTCAGATTTTTTTTTGAGGGTTATCTCCCTTCATATCATGTTAGGATTTTTCCACTTAATGTTATCCAGTAACATAATAAATCTCATTGTTATCAAGGCATGCATTTGTTGTTAAAAACCTTTCAATAATAGTTTTACGATACACAGGTCACTACATAAAATGAGGAAAAATAAGACAGGATTGTAATCTTTTAACAAAATGAAAATATATTTGATGTTAAGAAGTACTTCCTTACAGTTTTCACCTCAATGAAGTTTATAAACATTGAATTCATATTTGGTTTATTTCACTAGAATTTTATCTGAAAAATATCTAAAGTAGTACTTACTGTATAGTAGTATACGGTTGCTCATCAAGGTTTACATGTGATTCCAAATCTCTCACCTCAACTTGGTAAATATCAATGATTTTCATGATGAAACAACTGATTGATTAACCTCTTTAAAGAAAAATTTGAATGTTTTCAAATCAACCTATATCTTTTTCAAAGTGAAGTCTCCGGTTTTGTTCTCTACAAAAATTAAATTATTTCAAATCAAGTTGTATCTGGCCAGGATGTAGCCTCAGATTTAGGTAAACATACATGAAATGGTTGATCCATACATAATCTTCCATTGCTGACAATTAAAAGGCACAGGTTGGTATTGTATATATAGGATATAATTGTCAAACAATTTTAAAATCGTAGACTTATCTTTTTAGACAATTTTATATGTTTCCATTTTTTGTATAGAGAGATGTAGAAAATCGTTGAGAACTTTACCAACAGGAGGAGATGGGATTACAGTAGGCTTGTAACTAGCCTATCATTCACTATTAGAATGTTAGAAATTACTAACATGTATCACTAAACATGTATGTATATATGTTTATATACTTATTTGCTCTTGAGTCATAGTTCATATTTAATATACAACTGTATCAAGTATTATTATTCATTTACATTTTCTTGTTATGAAATTTGTTTTGAAATGTGATCTGGGTTCGAACCTGCTGGGTATCAAGAATGTGAAAGTTTCTATAGCCATTAATTTATGTTTTATGATTTGTCTGTTTCAGTTTGAATACTGGAAAGAATAAGTGCTGAAATAGAAATGATTTGTAATCATTTGTATTCACATTTTCTAATTGGAGTGTGAATTTCTAATCTGGATGTGATTAAAATATTATTTAAAAATGTATCTTCACTTAGTTCTACTTTTGTTTTTAAGACAATTGATGTGGCAGTCAGCTGTGGTACATATAATCTTGTATATGTGAGTGTTTTTCATAAGTGAGTCTGCATATATTTCAAAAGCAGAACAGATAAACACATACCAAGGACAAATAACATACCAATTAGAAGAAAAGTGACAAAAAGTAAAAAATATATTTGTCTTGGACCCAGTGTAGAGAAAAATTAGAAAGGAGATGCAAAGGTTATACCAAACCTAGAAATAAGATCAAATGGAAGTTAAGACAAGTGGTCAAGAGAGCCTGTATTGCTCACATGGATACCAAAACAATTTTGAAAAACAAAAGTTTTTTAATACTAATTAAAGGTTCCAGTGTTTATTAAAAATCATATCTTATGATGATGTCAAAGATAATGAATCAAGGTCATGGTCGTTTACATGAGGGATCTTCTGGAACCTGAGAGATAATAAAATGTTTCCAACATGTCAACATATTTGATCTTTTTTTTTCTTTGAAAGTACTCCCGGTATAAAGATCATTTATGCGAGGAAACATTAATCAGCACTCATTCTACATATTCTACACCTTCAAATGATCCTAAAACGTTTACCATATGCGACACCTGTGACCTTGAAAATAGGTCAAGGTCATTCATGCAAGGAAACTTCATAGTACACTCATCCCAGGTACCTTATAGCCTAACATCAGTACACCATTCCGTATGGTTTCTAAAAGAGTTAAAAGTTGATGTCCGGATAAACGTACGACTCTTGCAGATCCTTCACAACATGGTATATAAGTAAGCACATTCACACACTGTATGTGGTGAGGAATACAGTAAAAATGCTCGTCTTATCGGTGCTTCAACAGGAAGAGAAAAGTGTATTTTCTGAATTTAGGGACTGAACAGAGATACCACACAGAAACATTTAACGGAGATGGAGATGTTGTCAATTAAGTGAAATACCTATAAAAGTCGAAGTCTTGATTAACTTCCATGGAATACAGGAAGCTGACATATTTTTAAAACAAAACGTTCACATACTTTTACTACAATGTACCTGTTTGGTGATCACACAACCCTTCAATTTTGACAGAAGACGCTGGTGAAATAGGCATAACTTTAACAAACTTTCTCAAGCTGACTTTTATTACCTGACATTTGTCCCATACCATCAGTAACTCTATGTTGGTATATTTCCCGAAAAGAAAACCTAATTGTCTGTTACTAAATAGGAAGTTTTTTTTCTATTTGGTAGTCTACATTGAAGATATAATTGTCTCTTGATGAATTTAACATGTGTTTCATCAAGTAGGAAACTTTGATAATTGTTTTTACACGAGTAAAAGGTATACAACTGATTTTTATTAAGAAACAAATAATATTTGATGTGTTATATTCTCATATTTTACTATGTCAGTTTGAATGCTCTGTGCTGCTGTATTATGATTATTTTCGATGATTCTTTGCTTAATTCAATATAAAGCGTAAATAAATTAAATTCAGAATGACCGGGATTGGTACAATACAGTAAATTATATTTGCCTGTCATTTTAAAGGCTGTCTCTATAAGCGTTCCCTTTCCAGATATCTGCAATACATTCACAAAGAATTCATTACATTTTTCATTGCAAACACTGTGATCTGAAAGACCAAAGACGAGGGAAATAAACAAAAAACAAAAAAACAAAACTTGATATTTTCAATCTGTGAAATATCACTTATATTTCAACCATATAAGCTAATATTTCATTGTGAATAGTGTAAGGAAATAGTGTATTCTTACCAATATTTTTAATGATACAGTGTACTTTTAGGTTTTGATTTTCCTCTGATTAAAATCACGTTTTCCTGGTTGCTTTTGCTTTTTTTATCTTGCTGTATGAATATCGATGGAAGTGTAAATTCCTTAGGGTGACTATTTTTTGAAACTATTTTTAAAATATCCGGATTCCGGAAGTAGTGCAGGTGCGATACGTTTCGGAATTTAGTCTTGCCTTTGCGGCTGTAGCAACGCAAAATGGCGGTTGCAGTAGATTTGTCGAAGAACACAGACAGTGTTATATTTTCAGGCTCTTCGGAGGAGGATATAAACTACGCTAAGACATTCTGGCAGTCTGTACAGTTAGAACCACCAGCAGAGTCTCGCCTTGTATCCAGTGACATAAAACAGCGACTCAAAGTAGCTCCACCTGGATCTCATGGTAAAATCAGTGTGCCCAGAATTTTTACTCACAAAAATATTCAGACTCTTATCACACACAATTTGTAATTTTGCACACAACGGATTATTACCGATGAAAAAATAAAATTGCAGTCCCAGGACAGACTGGACATTCATTTACTCATTCATATTACATTGTTTGCGTTTTTAAATATGAGTTATAGTGCACCTACATGTATTTTCTACTGATGATGTGATCGGCTCGAGAACTGGTCACTACCGTACTGGTAATTTTTTGACATTCAAAGAAACTGATTATATATCCCATACATGTTATTCTAAGTTATTCTTTTTCTTTATTACAGGTTTGTCATATGCTCACAATATACCAGAAGAAAAGCCAGGTATGGAAATAAGTAATTGACTGTACATACCATAATATATACATGTATACAAAAGCATAACGTACCAGATGACTAAAAATCTGCGATAAGTGATGGAGTCTCTTTTTTAAGTGAAGTCATCGATTGAAATACTAAAGTGTTGTTTTCATTCTGTTTCAGAATTAAATGATTTCTTTGTAAGAGTGAGAACTCTGGAACAATTAGAACACTTTTCAAGAGTCCAGAAATTTGCAGAAGCTAGAGAGGAAGATCGTTCTATGATAGAAAAACGCCGAGCAGAAAGAATAAAGGTAGTTTTCCGTAGTTAATTTATTTTTTGTTCATAAAATTCTTGCTTGTATAAATTTACATATCTGTGACTAACATTTCACCCCATTTGTATATTTGAACACTGGATGAATGTATCAGTTATTATAGGCTTCAAATGACAGATGATATCAAATGATACCTGCAACCATTCCACTTTATTATGTTTGGCAAGAAGAATTAAGTTTGGGATCATGAACATTTTCAAATTCTCATTTTGCTAATATATTCAATGTCAAATTGTGTATCAACTACAACATGTTATCAACAAAGTTGATCATCTGCTCCTTGTCAATCTTGTATGTTTTATTTGCAGAGAGAGAGTATTTCAAGAGACTTCATTGGGCGTAAGCGAAAGATACCTGACGCATTTATTGGCAAGTCTGAGGAAACCGATGATGGTGTGATAGAAGAAGATCCTTCAGATGTTTTAAATCAGCTTGACACTTTTGAAAAGTCCAAATTTGGAGAACAAGAACCTGATTCAGATTAATATATTTTAACTGTGACTATAAAATATGTTTCAATAGGATTCATATATTACGAATGCAAGGTTAAAAAGAATGAAAAAGACAGGTGAGAAAAAGAGTGTTGGTAAACAAATGTGATATTAAAAGTCATGACTCCAGTCTAGTTTTTGTGCATTCATGCAATATACAGTTATCACTTCATCAGCATTAGTCAGGGGATCAGACATCAAGAGGGATGGTTTCCAATTTCACCAGTTTAGCTAGTGTTCATGTAACATGTGGGTGGCCTATTCCAACCTTTACTACAACTCTGCAGCCCAGCACTTCAGGTGCTGTAATGTCCGAGGTCGAGGTTACTGCAAATGGATCGCCAAAGCATAATTTCATTTATGGAAAACCTAAGAGCCTAATGAGATCATGTCACTAATAATTCTTCACTTTTTGTTCTTTAAAAAATGAATATTTACCTTTTTTTTCTCCTTGAAAGCAATAGTGATAATATTCTTTCATTGTTTAAATCCAAGATGGCTGCATGTCAGTCTCATGTGGAATTTGATCAAGATTGATCCAGTATTTAAAGAAATAGAGAAAACAAAACTTTCTTTGACAAAATCCAAGACAGCTGCCAGTAAGCCATTTTGAGTTTCTAATCAGTCCCAATTCAAAAGGGCACAACTAAGGACCAAAGGGAACCTACACATAAAATTTGAGAGATCCATCCAGTAATTCAAGAACACTAATGCTGTTTAAAAAATTACTGGAGCTACCAGTCAATGACACAGGCACTTAATAAACCTTGATGTCTCCAGATAAATAATAACATCTTGACACATATTTTCCTTAGGTAGAACACAAGTATCTTACTATGAAAACTTTATATCTTGCTATAACAGCTATTTTTAACTAAAACAACAAAACATAAGAAGTAAAAACAATCATATTTTGTTTTATTAAGTAACAAATTCTTACATTTATCCTTGCGGAAAATGCAGGTATATAACAGACAATATCAGTTTCAATGACACATGAAAACCACCACACAGGTGATACAATTTCTTTATGGCATTTATGAGAATGATATACCATTTATTTCAAGTCTCTGAAGGGAAATGCGACTGGTTAACCTCTGCTAATTTAAAAACAATTTTTGTTAATAATGATAATGTTTAAGTTAAGTTAAAAAAAAAACATCTAAAGACAAATGCCCTCACTCTAGGCAAATAAGTATCATTGTTCAAAATATTTATATAAGCATTGACAATCGAATCTGTTATACACTCATCAAAAGTTTTGTTGTAGATTGTCTTGGTTTTAATACATTTTATCAAAATCCAAATTTAGTGATTTCAGTGATTTGGCAATGGACGTGCGAGACATAGACAACTCTTAATGTGTCTCCATAAATGACAGGGGCATACATACTGAAAAACACTATATAGGTGCTTTTAAAATAATCGCCAATTTGGAGCTGATCAGAACACATTATTGCACCAATTGAATTTGTTCTCTTTTTGTTTTTGAATTAAATGTTCTGAGGTTTCAATAAAATGATAAACTTGAAATATATATAACTGATTTAGAGGCTACAGTCATCTATACAAAAAATTTAAAATATTCCAAACAGTGAAATAGTGTTATCACACATAAACTAGCCTGTCATCAAAATTCATTTTGGTTTTGTAGCGAAGCATGAAAATAGGACTCGGTTGCCTTTCAGTCTTTTTAAAAAATTTTGTTCAACTATATTTTAAAATGTACCACATAACATTATTAACAACAGGTTTTATCATTCTTTCTGTGACCAAGCGAAAACAAAACTACATGATCAAAGTGTACAATTGTACAAAAACAAATGCATTGATGAAAACAAATGACACAATAAAAATATTCACTTGTACCAAAACAAATGCATTGATGTGGAGTTGGATGAAATGGTAGAGAATACATCAATGTCACTAAATGTGTCACACACAACAATGAGAAATATTTACTGGTTACCAGTCAAGTCATCTTGTACCATATCATCTTCACACATTCATATCCCATTCACATCCACATTCTTTTATGATGAAGATGAAAATGATTTAAGAAATGTTTAATACATTATGTAGTAATCAACCAATTTAAAATCTTCATAAAGTAATCACTACAATCTAGAAACTTTGGCAACATATCAATCTTTAAAATTTAAAGAATGAAAATTTATTTGTATTAGACCTTAGACTGCACATTTATGTTCATTTTGAGAATTGAAAGTAAAACTCGAACATCACTTCCATGGATAAAGTAATAGCTCCTATATGCCTTAGAGAAATACAATCCCACTGATTTCCAAAAACTTATTAGGATACATTCTTTACTTAACACCTCTCCTCTATTTTTGGAATTCACTTATCCAGATTCATTCAAGAAATTAAATTAACTTGCTTTAAGAAGGTACTTACTACTGTCAATCATTTATACTTAAAGCTAGATAATTCCTTCATGTAAAGTACTGATAGCATCAATTTCCTTGCTAATATTTAAAGGTAGTAGTCTGTTTACCAAATTCAATATACATATAATGTAAATCTTAATTTGAGCAAGTATATCGATAAAATGTTTTAATTCAGTTCATATGATTTGGGATCTTTTGTAAATTGTGAAGGAGTTACTGACTGAATATCAACGAGTTACCATGTATTAAACATTGATATGTTCAAGAAGAGTATGGTGTTTTTGCTGACAAGTTTTTCTGAAGTATTTTGATTCGCTTGATTTTCAAGAAAGAGCAGGAAAGTATCAATGAATTAAAACTGAAGTGATTTACAGCACACATCTTTCATTCTAGAAACAGGATACTAGCCAACACTAGTTAGAGTTTCGATCATCAACACACCGGTGTCCTTGTCATTTGGATAGCCACGGTCACTACCCGAATGACTTGCGCATACCAACACACTTGATTGATCCTACAAGCACTTTGTGTGTCAGTTGTCAGTTCTTCAACTGACCTACAACTCATCCATGGCCTTTGCCTATTGGAGGCAAGTTGTTCTCGCCCAGAATCTGCATGGCAATGTCCACTGTTTGTATAGAGACTACTGTGCAGAACAGGCAAGATCTTCAGGGATATGTTAGTTTTATTTGTATGCCTGCTCAACATCATACCATCTGGAATCAATTTTGTCTACAATGGACATGCTGACTTCTTTGTGTGTATCTGGCACAGAGCCAGGAAGCTATGGGTCTGTGCGAGATTGGAGTGTATACATTTTGTAGATACTGTCTTCTTCTCACATCTCTTCTCCTGGCTTTGTGTGCCCTGTTCCATCCCATTGTCATGGACCTTAACAAATCCTGGCAGGTTATGGATTCTTACTAAAGAGTTTCTATCAATATTATAGCAATATTATGCACTCATCCTGAGAGATCATTCGCATTGAACATGTCTGGGTCATATTTTTCTGCTGTGACAATGCGACCACCAAAAAATCGTCCATTTAATGCCTGGCACGCCTTTTCCACCTCTGAAAAACAGAAATCATAGATGTAGCTTAAGAATTCTTAAAATTCAAAACATCTGACTCCCTGGTTTTCATGAAATCTGCTTGTAATTAGCTTTAGACCAGAGAATGTCTTTTTAAGAAGCATGATTAGTTGAAATGCCATTGAAGTATTTGTAAATTTACAACACTGACACCAAAGTAATATTTGTAAAGTTAAGTATATTACCAACTATTTACAACATTCAAGAAAACTGATTGACATAGTTGGTGACCAAAAAATTTTTTTCTTCATGTAATAGAAGTATATGTGACAATTATATACATTAATTACAAACTCACAAAAACATGCTCTAAAGCATAAACAAAAAGGGAAAATTACTTCTTTTCTTTTTTTTTTTTTTTTAATATCTTGAATTTCATACCCAACCAATGAAACGACAAAGTAGTTTCAGTATTTCAGACCCAAATTTAAGTGCGACTTTTCTTTTTTTTTTTTTTTAATATCTTGAATTTCATACCCAACCAATGAAACGACAAAGTAGTTTCAGTATTTCAGACCCAAATTTAAGTGCGACTTTTTTTTTTTTTTTTTTTTTTAATATCTTGAATTTCATACCCAACCAATGAAACGACAAAGTAGTTTCAGTATTTCAGACCCAAATATAAGTGCAACTTACCATTTTGATTTGAAAATTCCACAAATATTTTAACAATTATTTCTGCATCTTCTGCTTCACTCTGTTTTTCCTGATAAATAATGACACGATTCACAACACCATATTTCCCACATTCGTCTGTCACTTCATTTTCTAGTTCATCATCTAAATCCTCTGGTCCAACCATGTTTCGTAATGCCATTACTCGATACTGAAATTACAAGATCAAACTTCGTCATCAGGTGAATATTGTGTGTATTGACATTCAAACTGATATAAATTCATAAAATAATAGCTTAAAACTATTCAAAGACCATGTTTTAGAGAGGTAGACATAAAAATATATTTATTTTCATCTTAACTTGTATCTATCAGGAAGACAACAAACATACTGGTTCATGTTTTGGCCTCATTCACATCTGATTTGTGAGATTAGAAACAAAGAAATTTTGGCTTCACTCACATCTGATTTGCGCATCAATTTCTGCATGACCATATGCCTGGCATTGCTGCCACTAATCTTCATGTTCTCCTGTTGGTCGAGAGTCTGAGCCACATCCTCCTCTGATGGTTTTTTCTTCTTCTCCTCCTCCTTGGTAGCCTGTGCAGGGAACTGACTGAGTGCCCCAGGAGGAAGTGGAATCTGTAATGGGGGACCTGACACCTGGGGTATCTGGATATTGCCACCTCCTGAGGAAAGAAAAATCTTGTGATTATGTCATGTAAACATAAACCAGTCACTCTTCTATCTAACATTAATGGATATGAAACACATATATCTTTACATTTATTCAAATGAGCCCCTTTATTTTTTCAATTGAAGAATACATACCAGGTACTGGATTCACAACACCAGGAGGTGGGATTGCAGGTGCAGCTACACCCATCGGCATTCCACCTCCGTGAAGAGTAGTAGGTTCTACCACACCTGGTTCCGGCACTACCCGCTCGGGAGTCTTTGTGCCAAGGCCAGTAGGCGTTGCTACTCCTGGAGGTGCCTGCAAATAGTAAAATTTTCTTGTTAGTTACACAAGGTTTTTACCCAAGGACTAGATATGTGTTTTTATGGAAAAGGAAAAAAAATAACAGCTTTTGGATCAAAAGTTTCTTATCTAATCACATCTAATCACAATTTGACTTGAATTGCTTTCATGTAGCAGTCAAGAACAAAGAGCAAGAAATACGTACAAGTACTTGACTAATTTGTTGTTGAGCATCCATTGCAGTAATTTTTGCTGTCACTGCAGCTGCTGCTACGGCAGCTGCTGTAGGAAGGCTGCCTGGTCCTGAAGCTGGTTGAAGAGCATCCGGAGGGGTGATTGCCTATAATAGAACAAAGCCTCCAGTTTACAAAGCTAATATTTAAAAATGTTCAAGAAACAATGGAGATGTTTACATTTATTGTTTAAGTATTTTTTGAATAAACAAAGAGTGCTTTAGTTAAGCCAAGAAAAGACTTGATATCTGTAACAGATTAAAAGTTAATTTTGGAGAGAATGATCACAGCAACAGTAAATCATATGTCAGTTGTGACGTCATGTCATTATAATGCTGAAGTGAAAATTAGATTAACCAAATGTGAAAATATTTACATGTGAACACACACATTTCACAACATGAATATCAATAAAACCTGGTAATGTAAAAACTTTTCAAGCTTTATCTGAACACAAAGGATCTTGGCTAGGAGCGGTATTAAAAAGTTGCATTTTCAGTCATCTAGAATTCTTACCTTCCCAACGCGTAGATATTGACCTCCAAGGTCAAACAAGTTCATAGAGGTCACTCCATCCAAGGCTGCTTGAGATGTTTCATATTCTATAAAGCCATAGCCCCTGAAACAGTCACGTAATCAAACGTTTTATATCAATGTACTAGAACATTCTAAGATATGTGGAAAATACTGCTCTGATTAATCAGTATAGACAAGTCTGTCTCAGGTCAAATCTATCAAACATATTTGAAATTAAATGAATTTTAGCAAGTTCTCTCCATGTCTTTACTCTTTACCCAATTCAGTGGTTCTGAATTTTAAAGATAACCATCCTAAAATTGCTTCATGAGCAAACAAAGAATTTTTTGGTCCCTCATTGCAATGTAGTCAAAGTGTCATTTCATAGTGTTAATAGTTTCAAAAATCTGAATGTGAAATTTGCTTCCCAACAGCTTTCAAAGTGGTTCTGTTCTTAGTTTTATCTCTCAGGAATCATGTTTGTGAAGAACCAACAGACGGATGGATGGACTGAAATGAGATATGCCATAAAAAGGCAAAAAGGAAAAAATTATATAATACAAGTACATCAGGGTAAAAAAACACTTCAACATTTTGGGTTGATATTACAAGGGACTAGTTAAATTGTTTTCAAAGTCCAAATCAATGTACCTAATCCGAGATATCCTCAAGGTAACACTCCTAGCTTTAAAATAAAGGTGTGTATGATAAAAAAAAAACTACTACACTAAATATTACAGTGTGAATCAATGGGAGATTTGACAATTCACATGCAATATTTCTGTACTTTCAGCTTTTGTTTGAAGTAGGCGTTGTATAATTTGTTAGATGATATTGTGATATCACTATTTTTATACCAAAAGGACTAGTTATTAAGTACTTTATTGGGTACTTAGATTAGGTTTTAACTGCAATCAATTGGTCACTGATTAAGAGATAGTTTAGTGTTCAACTGTATGTAATACACTTCCATGCAGCATACATTTGATGCATTGCGAGTGTCAGTGTATTAACACATTATCAAGGAGGCTATCATCGCATTGTCAGAATTCTCATTACAAATACCCTCACAAGTCCAGGCTCCATACAATGTTGAACCGTGGCATGTTAATTCAGTGATACCGCAATCTGAAAGTATTTCCTGGGAAATATCTAATATGTACAACAAGATCCATAATAATTTGACAATTTGACTGTTTAGGCTTAACATATCAATGAATCTGGTCTCTTAAAGAGTCACTCAAACAACAAGATTTTAAGAGACTAATCTGTGAAGTGTACTTTTTACTGATTCTCTCAATTGTCCATGTTTATATAAACAGGTTCTTCACCACCAACCTCACCTTTAGATCACTGTTAACCACCCACCCTTAAAAAAGTATTTTTCTACAAAAAATATTTGATCATTTATATCATCTATTGAACAACCCAACATTTAAGCTAGACAGAAAACAAAGAAGTGAAATATAGATTAAAGTTTAGAAGTTATGTAAATGTGCTTGTTTTTTTGTCTATTTCTATTATTTGTCACTCAGAAATGATCATTGCTACTGCTAAATTTTTTCTCCAAAGTCAAATGGACAATTAATAGAATCAGTACATTATGTAAATTTTAGTCTCATCTGCAGTAAAAGTCGAAGAGTGCAATTTCTCAGAAAACCCTTTTGTCATTAAGCTGACAATAGGCCTTCCCAAACAATGCCTTAAATCTAAAGCATTAGTATTTCCTACAAAACAAAAAGGAAAAACATTAAACATCTTGCGAAAGATACAATAACAACAATTGATTTGCATAACAATTCTTCATTTTCATATACATGACATCAATCAGAGAAATGTGTACAGTAACATCTGATAATCACATGGCAATGTAAAAGGTTCCCTCAACAATCATTTCAATACAGTCGTACAACAACGAAATTCTCTGTAAAACCAAACTTACTTGTGTTTTCCTCCTTTTGGATTGTCCGAGATGATTTTACAAGACACAATTTTACCAAAAGCTTCAAAGACACTGAAAATAAAAACAAAAATTACCTTAATTTAAAATATAACACCAAATGTAGAAGTTCAGTTCCTTGTTAAACAAATGGGCCTGGACATTATCAAAGGTAAATTTAAGTCAAATTTTGATCAATTTCTACTTCAACCCCTCGACTCTAAAACAAATCACTTCTATCCATGATTCAGTTTCCTTCCTGTTACTTCTAAGCAAATTATCAATTAAACTCTATTGGCAGTAAGTACCCCTAAACAAAACCCGGAGTCCTGGGGTCAATTGATACTTTAATAATTTTGTAATTCAGAGCATACATTATTTTGCTTATGTATCCAAACATACACATCTATTTGAACTGAGCACCATTACACACCTTTTGATATCTCCCTCTGTGAGGTCTGTATGGATGGATGCTATGTAAATACGATTGTAGTTTTTGGCCTCTTCAGCAAGCTGCTCAATAATAGGTTGAGCTTGTGGCATATTACTCGGACGTCCAACCTGAAAAGAGAGTTCATGTCAGGACCCTTTGTGTGTGAGATTGCTCTCTGAAGAAACAGGTCACAGGATCTTTAAATGAACAATCAAGTTAATTTTTATATCCATTTAAAAAATATTCCAGGACAACATCAATCGATTACTTACAATTTATGTCAAGGTTTCAAGAAATTGAAATAAAAATTATCAGTTTTATCAGTTAGAATTCTTGCAGAAAAGGAATAAATTGAAATCTATATTCAGCAATTATCTACATGTTTTACATAAATCTGCAGCATTTCATGAATCACAAACTTAACTCTCTAATTCCATCCAAACCTCATCCCTCTATATATTCATTCTATGAGTTTTCCTTATCAAAAATTCACATATTACATAACTATTTCATCAATACTACCGCTGTTGTAATCGTTATTCTAAACAGAATTAACTATCAAAAGAATCCTTTTGACCTGTTTCTTCTACACATCAGTAAAAGTCATCAACATATATTTTCAAAATGACCAATTTGTCGTCTTTAACCTGGTTTTTAAAACACAACATCCATTTCTTCCGAGGCAACTTTCCATTATCATATAGTCCAGTCCCACAGCAAATGATACCTGTAGAACATCGGCTCAAGCCTATATCGCTGCACCTGCTAATTATAGTATAAAGAGAATTGAATGCCATCACTTTCCTTGAGGGTGATGGCCATAATTTCCAAACAGCAAACAGAACTGTAGAATTGAAGGTCAAAAAACAATCATTCCTATAATTCTCAATACAATTTGAAAACTACCCATGATTTTAGAATAGGGACTGTGGGGATAGCCTTACCTCCATCTCTCCTGGTTGAGTGCTGTACACATAAAACAGGTCTATTTGTGCACATATCAATACATTTCATACTTTTTATAAGAATAGAAATAAGCTGAACTTACTACCTTGATATTCCTCCCTCCTATCATGACCCCATTCATCTGTTCCAGTGCCAGCTGCGCTGCCTCTGGAATCTCATACTCAATGAAGGCAAAGCCCTTGTGTTTGTTGGTGACCGGATCCCAGGAAAGGTTGACGCTCTTGATGGGGCCAAATGGGAGGAATGCCTGCTTGATAGTGTCCTCTTTGATCTCAAAGTTAATACTGCCAACATAGATTCTATCAAAAATGGAAGAATTAGAAAGAAGGTTTAATAAGAGATGTAAATACAAATAAGGTAATATAAGTGTATATATCACAAAAGGAATAATCAATACACACAATAAACAATTACAGATAACCAAGTTTGAACCAGAGATTTCTGAAGAAGATATTCTGCGTCTGGTCCTGTTCTGGATGGTACTCCATATTTTGATGGTTATTTTCAAACAGCAGATCCGGTATCAGTAACAAAAATCTCTGTCATAAACTTGGAAGAAAATTCAAACATTAATCATTAAGTTTTTCAATAACTTTCTGATATATTTAATAGAAGTTTGTTCCATTCCTGGTTTAAAAAGCTTTCTTCTTAGCTCTGAAACACATAAACTATCTAAAATGAAAATGCCTCTGTTTTTATTTTCAAAGGATAATCATTCATCAAACAGAACAATTTTTGATATCTTCAATTATTTAATAAATTTTCCAAAGTTGTCATAAAATATATTAACATTTTTGAAGTATAAAAATTATGATGTTTTACCAAGCCAAATCAACTATGAATTGCAAATATCTTCCTTTTTTTTTTTAAACCATTACTTTTCAAAGTTTTTGATGAACAAGAATTCATCATGCTATATTTTTCTTACCTGCACATCAACGCCAAAGCCTGTTGCCGCTGGACCGTGTTCTGGAAATTCTGCATTTGCTGTCAAATATGAAAATAAACCACTTAAAACTACTTTCCAGAACATGATCATATATCAGCACTGAATGGTTGAATGTGGAGGTGAAAACTTTTTGGGCGTGTCATTTCGGGGATGCTTTTACTTCACTTATAATCAGCCCTAAGTCCAGATTCCAGAATAGATCACTTTTATTCATGAGTGAATTTTCTGCAAATTACTTCGATGAAAATTACTATTGCTGTACCTGCTGCTGATGGGCTATAGTCTGCTTCACCAGGACGCTCTTAATACTCTGTTCCATAGCATATTTCTTCGCTCGTTGTATAAGTTCATTCTGGGAGGATGAGAGTTTGGGTAATGTGAATGGCTTCTGGTCCCTCTTGGCACCAGGTCCCTCCACTAGAGGTCCAATCTGGTCAGCTTGCTGAGGACCAACCTCCCCACAAGCTTCTGAAATCGTCAAAAACAGAAAGTAAGTACTGGTACATTAACTATCTTTTTAAATGAAAGCCTTAAACTACCTATAGCCTATATAGAAAAATTAAGGAAATTTGATTTTTTTTTTTTTTTTTTTGTGGTTTAAACCACAGAGTACAACTACACATCTGGTATGTCTGTTGAGTATTCTGTATAAGTATTTGTCCCAATTTGGGACTTACTAATTATATTCTGTTACCTAGTGCCTTCATGGTTTCATGGGACAAACCCATGCTTGGAGCATGTATTGTTTATTTTTCATGGGTACATTTGACTTTTAATATATCTCTTGTACAACAGGAAAAACTTTTACTACTGGTAAAAATGCAAATCTTTCTAACACTGAGTTTACCATGAGAAAACTGATCATCACACTTTTGTGCAATACCTTGTAATGTCTTGATGTGACAGTGACAGAACTCTATACCAATCATCATCAAATTTGATAATTCAAAGCATAAAGGGATTTTAACACATACAAGTGTTTCCACAGCAAAAATGTTTCAAACTTTAAATTGTCCTATCAAATCATAAAATAAATTCTTTTTTGAAATAGATACAATTTGCTGTCCCTATAATAGTTTTATATCACCTTTGATTTAACAATATTTCTCAAGATTTTAACATTGTAATCTTACATACGGTTTTCATCAGAAAGTAAGACAAGTACACTGGCTTTATTGCAGGTATAATTTGTCTTAAAATCCCTTTCAAAATAAACAAGTATATTTATAAATAGATAATCATATTAATGGACATTCACAATATTGAAACCAGTGTCCATACACAGTATATGACGACAGGTAGAGGCTATCAACACAGATGTCATCAATGATAGGATAATGCGTGTTTGTAACGATGTTTACCGCTAGCATCCCCATGTTTGACTGAGAGCAGGAGCTCATGGCAACAAGCCCTCGACTAATATCATTCGGTCGGCGCATGTACATAAGCTAGGGTACCACAATTTTTGGCTTGATACTTTTTACATGAAACACACAGAAAGAAAAAGAAAGAAAACCATGGGTGAGTATCAAGACTGTAACATCATAAAACAGTTTTAATTAATATGTCATTCTTGATGATCTGCTCAGGTCTCGTCGTGACTCTAAACTCACCAACGTAAAAGCGTGCTTATTTTCTCATCATATTACAATTGATCAAAAGAACAAGCAGCTAGTATGCATGTTACATGTTACACCCTTTTCAGAATCCTCTTTCTCTATTGAACAGTTCAGTGATTTTTTAACTCGGATATTGGAGTCCTGGACATGTGCTTTTTATTCGAGTCACTGAAATTTTGAGAACCCACAAAATATCTTAGTATTAAGACTCGTAAACATTTTGGAATTAGTCTTCTGGACTTGCATTAAAAATCCCACAAAAATAACTGACAGTATGTATAATGCGAAAATAAGATTATTTATATTGGCAAGCTTACAGTGCCATAAAAATCCTGAAATGTAAATTAGTATCTTATAATCAGCTCTCATACCAACTGACAGCTCACAAATGACATCTGTCCATATCTGACATCACATAGCCTTCTCAACAATGAAATCAATCAATAAAGAAAATGTACATGGGCATTTTTCTTACTTTTTTAGATCAATTACTTCAGCTATTTTTTTCAGATTGGGTGAAACAATCTTTTCAATTTTGTAAATAGAAAAAAAGCTATGTACATTTTTTCCTTCACTGATTAAGGTCGATATTGAAATCAAATTAAGTCTTTAACATACCAGTAACAGTGTCTAAGAATCAATAACGAAATACTTTTGGTTAATCTCAAGTTTGAATATTCACAAAATATCCTACGCATGTGACACAGGTTAAAAGCCAATTCAGAATTCTTTTTGGTCAACAAAATTCTATGCGATTGATCTTACAAAATTAAGACTGTAAAGAAAAAACAAGTAGAGAGAACTACAACTTTTGCAAAATTTCAGACTATGAGACTTTTTAAAATACAGCTAGTATTCTCTTGCAATCAATTATCTTATCCAGTTACCTCTTATATAATGTGTCAACTGACTTATTCAACATTACCAAAGACAAAAATTTCTTGCAAGTTTTCTGACCAAAAACATGTTCAGAAACAAGATGTTCAGAAACAGACGATCATCTAATGTTATAATAGAACGCATACTCAGGGTAGTGATTTTTAAGCAATGAATGCATTCTTTATCATTGCAATCATTGGCAGTTTTAGTCTGACATCTTGTTTCAGAAAATACTTTCAGGCATTTTAGAAATAGCAAAATTGTAATAGAAAATGTAATAGCATGCGTTTTTTCTTTAATTACGATATAAAAATTTCTGTTTAATGATTTGATCAGTCACATCCGATTTGATCAACCAATCAAATGTGTCTTCAGTACTTCGGTCAGCCAGTCTTCCTGGAATGGAAATCAGACCATTTTTGTTACACCAATGTCATGGCATTAGTTGCTCAACATGGAGAAAGACTGGAAAAGTAGCAAGGCATTCATTTTATTTGTTTTTGGGTCAAGGTTAAAAGATCATTACAAAGTATTTAGATCAACAAATGATTTTTTTTTAATTACAAGTAAAGAAATTCACTAACAAATTCAGACAGAGTTTTCTCACAAATTCAAGTGAAAAATGCTGGAGATGGGCAGGATTTTGGCAAATAAAAAAAAAAAATTGAAAAATTAAAACCAATAGTTATGATAATGAAATAAACACGCATGCAAAATGAAAGAAGGAGTAATACATATCATATGCAATTATTTTGGAAAGAAAGAAAATTGATCAAAAGTTCCTCATTTCTTTTCAAGCACACTAAAATTACCCTCATTTTTTAATAGATGTTATTTTCATTTCTTTTTTTTAACCACTAGAACATTTCATTCTAGTGAGAGAAAGGAAACAAAAAGACAGAGAAAAAATTACTGGGAGGGATATCAATAATTTTAAAAAACAAACAAAAACAAAAGCAGAATTTTGATTTTGGAAGTTTTCGATCTCGGAGCAAGATAAGTGTGGAGGATGACTCTGCACCAGCTCTGTATTATGGATCTTTAGCAGACAGTCTCTTGCTGTGTGGTTTGTTGTTGACTGAAAATACATAGAGAGGAAAAAACACCTTCCATGATTATCGGGTCTGGTAGTTTGTAAATAAACAACACCACAAAAATATGTTACAACAGAGGGGAACCATAGTCTATCGCAATTTAATGATTTTAAAAATACTTTCCTAAACAGTTCATTTTTTTTTTTTGATATCAGCATCAACTCACAGGCAGCGTATATTTATAAAGTGACATCAAATAATTCTAATGTATTCATCAATCATATATTTACTCTTTACACATTTATTTGCTTATAAAAGTAACTTCAGTTTGTTTTCAGAAACCTATAATTTATGACCAATTTAACAATGGAATTCTAGTAAAAGGTATAGGAGTCAAAAAAAAAGAGAGCATAAAGTCTAATTTAAAATATCCAAATAAACTGTCATTTTTTCTTCCATGCAACATCAACAGGAGCTGCTGGGTTGAAAACCCTGTCAATGAGGTGTGGTCCTGTGTACTGATAAACTAATGATTTATTTCCAACTCAGTAAGTACGACTGCTGAAAAGATACAAAAGAGGCAGAGAAAATGATCAGTATGTGTCGCATCAAATTTTATTTTCATACCGTTCAAATGACAAAATGGACAAGAATAAACATTCTAATACAGATATACAAATATCATACATATTTCCATAACCACAAAGATTAACATTCAGTAATCATACACAATTTCAGAAAATAAAAATGTTAAACTGAAACACAATGTCCAATCAGGTCAGGTCACCTTGTATACAAACTTTCATTTACAGGAATGAAGGCAGAGCTCTTGTCCATGTTGCTTTTCTTCTTATAAATTTATTTTGAACCTCTTGATAATTTTCCATCATTTTGATTTTTTTTTATACATGGTCTACTCAGTAACTCTAAACAAGAACTATGCCAGAATCCAAATTTCACTTGGTAATTTGCACACTTCCATTCATTCCAAAAGAAATCCTATCACTGTAATTATCACTAATCCCACCAAATGACACTTCCATCTCAAAGTTGCTGGGTCCTCATCCTTTCTGCTAAAAATATCTACCTATATATAAATATGATATCAGTATAATTACTTGGATAACACTCTGAACTCCAAAAGCTAGTGGTAACATTACAGACCTCAGTTTTGTGTCATACTAATATATTATGACATTTTTATCTTCCAATCACATATTTCTGCTGTAATGGTTTTTATATCTACTTTAACATATGCCTTTATAACGGCAAAACAACACTTTTATTGCTAAGGAAAACTACATATTTTTGAAAGATTTGTAAAAGGTATTTTGGTAGTATACATATTACATATAATTTTTTCACTTGAATCTTCAACAACATATTCAACATTTAACACTGTCTCCCCCCGCCACCTTTACACTGGAAAACAATTCAAAATCCTGTCTTGTGTTTCCATCAGATAAGATGCATTCAATCGTCAAGGCTATTAATGCTTCATACACCAATGCTCAATCTTCTCACCACCTTCAAAGAAATCTATCATTATCAGATGACTTCCATGCTATGTGAAGTCATAAACTTAAGATTAGTTTACATAATAATGTGATAGTCTATCATGTCTCTTAAATGTATCATCAATTTCATAATGATAATACGGTACAAAACGAGTCTTTATTAGTATGATAATGATAATTTTGCTGAGACCGACACAGTACTTAGCTAAGCAGGGTACTTTAGCCCCCCTCCACTCACTCCGAATTTGAATTAACAAAATTCAACCAATCAATCATATATTTGGATGCATCAAGGGCATCAAGAATTTGAGAGAAATGTTAATATTCCTAATCAGTGAGTTTTTTTTTTCTACCCGAATTTCATAGCAGTTTATGTTGGCATAAATAGCGATAATAAATAATTTTTCCTGTAAAAAATTTTCTTCATCTTCAACAACAGTTTTCGAAAACAGTCTTTTCAGTCGTAAAATGGCAAAAAATAACAACTTCCCAATTTTTATATACCTTAGAAATCATTAACTTTGTTCAAAAGAGCTCATTCTAAATACATGTATATAGGTTTTGATTTTCAAAATGAAAGTCTGCATAAAAAATATATTCCAAAATTAGATAAAAAATAATAAAAAATCCCCAACAGATTTATATGAAAAACACAGTGTACATCTATAAAGGTAAACTGAGGTAATGACTACAACTCTAGTTTATTGATGACATAGTGATACCATACCATTACTTTCTCCAATCTTAAGCAGGAGTGAGAAAATATAATACAATTTCAAATTTACAAAAAAAAAAAAAAAATAAAACAGTACCATGGTTCTGACCACCATTGCTATCATGCAAATCCTGCATCAACATAAAGAAGAAAATTGTTTGAAGAACTATTTTCTTTTTTATGTAGCAGGACCAAGTAATATGCTGTAACTTACCATCATCCATCTTCATCTTCTTCACCGTAAAATGATCAGTACCCTAGGAAACGAAAAGAATAAATTTAAATCTAAAGTCTTCCTGGAGGCCTTTATTTATCTACATAAATGTCAAATAGTCTTAACATGAACGATTGTGTTGCTTCTTTTTCTTTTTCAAACATATTCATCGGATAATTGTCAAAACTGATTACAATATATGTTTATGCGATATTTATCACTTTGATAGAACAGTTTTCATAATTACCTCTTGTTTCACTCCATTCTCTTGTGGCCAAGCTGGTGCATCACTCTGTTGTAATATTAAAACAAAAACGAAACATTAGGCCCTATTCTTGAGAATAAACCAATTACAGCATCATCTGTGAAATAATGCATGTGAAAACTATACTGTTAAAGTGATAATGCTTTCCAAACCCTTGAACGCCTAGACAGTTTTAAACGGAATAATGCATGGCTTTCTGCTCCATAAAATTTTAGTTGATAGCACAAATACCATCAGAATGATGATTATATTTGTGGTCAAGTAAATGTGTGATTTATAACATGAAACTATTCAAAACTCGTTAGAAACGCTATTTTGGCTTAAGAAATACACATTTTTTTGATAAGCGGTAATAAAGCTTCTGTCGATTTCGGGACGAAATGACGCGGTCGAGGTAATTTGGGGCGAAATGACTGAATACGGATAGCCTGTTACCTCCACAAAATGTTCATTAATGTTCCCCCATCAATTCTTTTTTCCGAATCAACTTAATGCTTTGACTATATGTTTACAATATTTTATTGTCTGTAAACGTACAAATGTTCATATCAACAAACGTCCTGGTGACGTTTTTTCTCGTAAACGAAGGATCCGGACCGAAAAAAAAAAACGGTTATGCACACTATCAAAGTATGTAGAAAAAATGCCACTTGTTGGCATTCCTGTCCTCATTTCATTTATTCCATTTGACTCTGAGATTCTACTACAAACGGTAGTCCACTGCGCTAGAAGGACTGGTATCGGTATGAATGAAAAGCGATCATTTTTGTAAAGACCACGCCGGTCAGACACGTTTACTACACAATGAAATCCTGCGTTTTTAAGAGTTGGTTCTACGCATTAATGTTTCATACATGTTTCCGTAAGGTACATTAAACAAAAAACGTCGTATATAACAAAATATGCGACATCTATACTGCTTACCGATGAAAAATTCGAGTTCTGATTTGCCATGGCGCCCAGGTCAATCGACGCCATTTTTCTTCGTGTCACGTGCTCTTAAGCACCTGAAGCATACAGCTGCAATCAGTTACAATCAGTTACGGCAGTTTATCGAGAGCTGAACTAAGTGCGTGAACTGTTATATGTAATAAACGTTTACAGAGAAGCACATGGTTAGGGAATAAAAATGGGAAAAGACAAGAAAAGAAAGTCTGAAGGTGCAGAAGAGGAGGGTGGCGACAGCAAAGAAGCATGGAATTCGAAAATTGAACATCTTAATGCTATTTCAAAGCCACTTGCTCCGCGTAAATTAAGCAAGCGATTGTATAAAGCAATCAAGAAAGGTAAACAACCGTGGACTCCATGTATTTGGATGGTCTACGTGTCTAGATGAAAACTATCATTGTAGCCTGTAAGAATAACATGTTGTCATTTCTAACGATACTGCTTCCGCAACCTACTTCACTGCCTGACTAGGTTAATGTAACGGGTTTCCTCCAGATAATTAAGAATAATTTATACTAGATTTTCGGAAATTAAACTGCTAACAATGTTAGACAAATTTAACTACCGGAAAAATGTATATCTCGTGTGTTATGGTTCCCTTTGAAATATGAACAACGTCCCCATCAAGAAAACACTATACTGCAAGCATGGGGAAACAATCCCATAAAAGGAAAGAGTCCACACAAAACTGAACTAATTAGAAAATTTTACTTGGCCTATGTTCAAATCATACTATGATGAATCTAACCTCAAAATTGTCATGTTTTGTTAGTGTAATCATCATATATGTCATATATTTTAATCCTAAATTGTCCATTTCTCAAAACTGACCAAAAAATTCCCCCGTTTCCAGAATGATAGTTCTCCCCAAAATCCAGATTTATGTAAATGTCAACTTATTAGTGCTAATCAGCTTGACCTAACTAGACAGGTTTTTTTTCAGCTAGCAAGAGCTGAAGCTCATTTGCATTTAAAAAAATATTAGAAATTAGTTTTAAACTATTGATCATAGAGCTTGTATGTTTTTGAGTGAAAACTACTGAGCTATGCATGTTTTGATAAAGAAATTATTTACTTCAACTTTTGTTTTGAAAGTGGTTGAATCTAAAGTAAAATTTTGGTTATTAACAAAAGCTTTTTGAATGTTTAGATATATCAAAGCTCAAACTTATTTGTCATAGAAGTAAGTATTTTCAGTTAGTTCTGTTAAATTAGAAAAATGGTGCTAAAAGAAAGCAAGGCCAGTATTTGACAGTTATGTTTTAGTTGGACCTCTATGATCGGGCTATTTTGCTCAATTTTCATGTAAAGTCATTCAGTACTTGAAAATTCATCAATATCCTCTGACATACAGATATCTTTAAATCAAGGGAGTTAAAATAATTCAAATCATGATTTTTCCCTTCAAAGATTTGTAGGCAGTGACCACTCCCTCCTATTGTACATTCCTGACTTTATACATTGATATATGTATATTACATAACTTTACCATATTTCAGCTGCAAAACAAAAACAGCTGAGAAAGGGAGTAAGAGAAGTACAGAAATTTGTAAGAAAAGGAGAAAAAGGGTATGTACTCTTTTATACCATTCAGTGTTTTTTCTGTGCAGAATTTACAATAGTACATGCCTTGGTACTGATTACCGGTATTTGGGAAAAGTATTGGATTTTCTGAAAAATTAGGAAAATATTCTTGGAATTTGCTTCATTTAGGGAAACGAGCACACATTTTGGTTAGGGGAAACAACCTCGTTTTGATTATAAAACAGGACAAAATTCACATTACTAGATACAGTTTTACTATCAATATAGATCAAGTGATATCAGTATTCTTGTATATGTTATTGTATTTCACAAACTTACAAAAATGCAATTGATGTCTTTTTGTATCTTGGAAATCATTTCCCAGCTGCATAACATTGAATGGATGTGTATATTATTCATGTCAGAAAGCGATCAATGCACAAAATATGATTACAAAACATTGTCTGACAATTAATAATGTGTTAGTTTTCCTTAACACTAAGGTGCAGACAGTGAAAGAGCTCAGAATTTTCCCAAAACATTGTTCATTAATTTGTATCAATGTAATCTCTATATTTTTGGATTCTACATCATCCTACAGTTCAATTATCTGTTGTTAATAAATAACTGCATTCGTTGTACATGTACAATATTGGAAAGTGTAATAGGAATTTTTATCATATTAATATTGCCTCAAGTCACAAATTTTACAAATACTAAAATGAATAATACTAGAAAATATTCTGCCTAAAAGTATCTTATATTTTGGTTGCTGTAAATATATATGAAAATATTTTCTTATCAGTTAGTAAGATTTCTGTATAAATGCATATACTTACATAATGAAAACCTATTTCCCTTGTAAACAGTGTGATTGTGTTGGCTGGAGATGTTAGTCCAGTTGATGTCATCTGTCATATGCCACTTCTGTGTGAGGAAGGAGGGATACCCTACTGTTACACACCCTCCAAAGATGTAAGTGTGATACACATAGATACATACTGTTACACACAATCCACAGATATAAGTGTGATACATATTATAGATATATATTGTCACACACACTCCAGAGATGTGAGTGTGATACACATTGTAGATATATACTGTTACACACCCTCCAAAGATGTAAGTGTGATACATATTGTAGATGCATATGGTTACACACCCTCCAAAGATGTAAGTGTGATACACATTATAGATATATATTGTTACACACACCCCAAAGACGTAAGTGTGGAACTCTCTACAGATACATATTGTTACAATTTTTTATGGTATATCCACAGGACCTGGGATCTGCATGTGGATCAAAGCGACCAACCTGTATGGTAATGATCAAGCCTCATGATGACTACTGGGACTTATATGATGAATGTTTTGGAGAGGTCAAAGATCTTCCGCTTCCAATCTAAGGCTGGAATTGTGGGATATGGAAATTTGTGTTCAACTGTAAGATCTTGAAAATTGTTAGATGCAGAAAAGTAAAATAATTCCTGGATACAACTCTTGTCCTCCCAATCTAAAGATGTTGGACAACATGGTAGCAGATGTTTTATTGACATACATGTACACTGCATTAAGGACTCAATTGTTCAAACCACTTATGACTTAGAAGTTAACTTGGATTTCAAGAATGCCAGATATTTTTCTACCTTCTAAAAATTTTAATGTTTCCTTTTTGTAGTTCCGAGTTGTTTTTTTCATATTGTTTTTTTATATATAAAATTAGCAATTCTAAAAATATCTGAGACAGAAAATTTCATTACATGTCCTGTTATGATCAGATGGTGTTTCGAAGATGGCGTCATCATATATTCGGTAATTTACATAATACAGGTTTTACTTAATTGTGTGAAAGAGAGCTGGTAAATGTATCATTTGATGCATTTTATGGTATGGAAGTTTTTGCAATCTTTTAACCTTATCTGATGATACTTTCATTATTCACTACACAAATAGACAAATCACTTTCTCACTTAATATATATATATCATTGAAATTTTGTATATATATATATATCATTGAAATTTTGTATCTCTTGTCAATGGTTATGAAATTTTTTGTCTCATGTCTAAGGTAATTTACTTTTCTTGTCTTCTTGAACTAGCATTTATTGTGTTTTATTGGAAGGTCCAATATGTGTTCAGAGAGCCCATGATATTTAAACATATACATCTATGAAATAGCATCATTTTATTTTAGGGAACTTATTGTTACAAATTTTGTGGCCTGCAGACTATCGATTATAAGTGGTGGTGTTGCAGAATTTCAACCCTAGAAATTTGTTATGGGAACAGACTGATGAAGTGTGAACCCTAAAATACAACAGTGTTGTACAGCTAATGAAAGGAAAGTGTGACTGTAAAATAGTGTGGATGTGGCAAGAGAGAACTGAGTGAAAGCAGAGAGCTAAATAACACTAGGTTTCTGGTGAAAGTTATTGTTTTCACACAATTATTAAGGAATGTGGATTATCAGATTTTCAATAAAACATTACCACATTAGTATGTGTACAGATTTTTCTTTCTTGTTTGCTATTCACTCATTTTTAGCAGGCCATTTAGGGCATATACTGGCATCAGTCCATCTACTGGATTTACTGTTCATTGTCAAAATCTTGTGTTAGGAGCATATCAAGGGGACCTTTATATAAAATCTGAGAAATCATCTGATGAAATAGCAAAATAGTCCAAAATGGCTGCCTGCCAACCATTCTGTATTTCTCATCAGTCCCAAAACCAAAATGCTCCAGTTTGCAAAACTAGGGATCAAAGTGAACCTAAATATGAAATCTGTAAAAGGTCCATCCAGGACTTCTTAAAGAAATAAGCATCTATTATGAAATTGTTAGAAAATAAAAAGAATCAACATTTGATCTTCGACAGAAGATGACAGTCTCCAGTTCCTGAAGTAGGATCTCCAGCAGATGTCGGACATATACAGCGAAGCTAAATAGCAAAAGAAAATATCTATGGAATGGCTAGAAGCAAAAACAAAAGCATTAAGTCAAAGAATTGATGATTATTTTATTCATTTACTTCAACTCATAACAAACTTATTTTAAAGATAAAAACTTAAAGTTGACATAATAAAGCAAAAAGGAAACAACACTTTTAGGATGTCCTTGTAGTGTTGATTTAAACATCTTGTAGTGCTGATTTAAACATACCTTGTAGTGTTGATTTAAACATATCTTGTAGTGTTGATTTAAACATATCTTGTAGTGTTGATTTAAACATACCTTGTAGTGTAGATTTAAACATACCTTGTAGTGTTGATTTAAACATATCTTGTAGTGTTGATTTAAACATACCTTGTAGTGTTGATTTAAACATACCTTGTAGTGTTGATTTAAACATATCTTGTAGTGTTGATTTAAACATATCTTGTAGTGTTGATTTAAACATCTTGGAGTGTTGATTTAAACATATCTTGTAGTGTTGATTTAAACATACCTTGTAGTGTTGATTTAAACATATCTTGTAGTGTTGATTTAAACATCTTGTAGTGTTGATTTAAACATATCTTGTAGTGTTGATTTAAACATATCTTGTAGTGTTGATTTAAACATCTTGTAGTGTTGATTTAAACATATCTTGTAGTGTTGATTTAAACATATCTTGTAGTGTTGATTTAAACGTATCTTGTAGTGTTGAGTTTCCTTTTTACTATATTGTGTTTTCTTGTTAAGGAACTCTATTGAACCCTATACAGATCCACCTGAGGATGCTACCGCAAAGTTCCACATGGGGAGTGTTGGATCACCCTTTATATATAAAACTTAAAGTTGTAATTAAATTAATCCATTCCATATGTTTTAAGAATTTACACCATGTCACACATACCCTCCATCCATATATCATCCTTTTTCACATGTACAAACCAAAGTGTAACTCCAGACATACCTGGTAATATCTTCAGGAGCAATGTAACAATAACCTATGTATACTGAAATCACAGAAATATGGTACATGTACCAGAAATGGAAACTTATGATCAATTTATTTATCAAAATTTTAATTTTCTGAACATTTAATACTTGCAGATTCTACATGATAGAGGATCTATTAATACAAATCTGCAACATCCCTTATCCTGTTCCTGAACAATTCAAATCATGGAACATTTTAAGATAGACCACTGATCTGCTTACAATGACAGACAAACTAGTCGAAAAACTCAATTTTTTCTGGTCTGTACTAATACATACTGTAATTTTATCAGTATTGGCAGAGCCTCCAGATTTCATTTTCGGTGTGTGGAAATCTTAAGAAATGTTGTCAAAACATAACCATTAGCAGGTTAGCCATATCATATCACAATGGTTGACTCCAACATCAGAGAGACTCGTGAATGTCACGCTGATACTTCTGCAGCCTGTGAGCTGGATAGGGAGGTGGTATCAGGGTTTAAATTGATCAATCTATTACTGGACTCGGCCAGCTCTATGATTGATATGCGACCATGCTGTTTTATGTGTTTGGCTATTGTCTGTAGCTCCTCTACTGTGATATAAATAAATTTGCCACGGTCATCAATCACACCGGTGAGACGTCCCTCTGCCACCAAGTCTTGGACACGGTCAATAGCATCCTTAATGAAAATTGTAAAATACTATCAGATTTGTCATATCACGAAATAATCAAAGAGAAATAATATAATAATGGAGTTTTTTTCTAGATAAGATTATAAAGTTTGTGAAGCATGTACTGACACCATGCTAAAATATGACTTTCATCTAAATGTACTAGTAAGCTGACTTTACAAATGAAAAAATGATCTTCCACTGTTTTCAAATAAACTCACCTGTGTCCTTATTTTGAAATGTGATGCCAAATCTTCAAGCATTACCACTTTTGAAGTCTGCAAAATAAAACATAATATTTCTGATGTCACTATTTCTAGTATTGCATATTTATTTGTGCTGTAATATTGTTATCATTATTATTATTATTGCAGTCTTAACGGCTTGTCAACACATAAAAGGTCATTAGGGCCAACTTGCAATATTGGCTGTAGTGTTGTTTTACAATTCAGGTACAGCTAAATTTGTCTCCTGTTTACACTTGCCACTTTAGTTGGCCAAATTGATGAATCAGTAACAGGATTTTTTTTACATTTTGTTGTCATAAGTCTGGTATCCAATTTCATTATTTCCAATTAATTTGTCTATTATTTATCAATACAAAGTCATTGATTGCAAAAAAATATGTTTTCTTTCCTTCTTCCTTTTATTTCTCTCTAATACAAACCACAACTTACCTTGATGTGATCTATAAACTCCTGTAGTAGAGATTGTGACTGTAATGTAAAAGAGATCAGTTATTATTTGGATATGAAACTGTAGCTTTATGATATCAGTATCAAATTAAGGGTATATGTTATCTTCTGACAGAATAGATCACATTTTAAAGACAATTTTACATGAAAAGGTAGCAGTGAACACAGGCTACACAAAATCAACAAATTATCTTCTCCCATTTTTGTTTTTTTCTTCAAGAATTCCTGTGATATACAAGAAGCACACTCCACCTTCTGTTTCCAGACATTCTCCTGATCTACAATATTTGTCTAATTAACACACCTACCCATATATTTCAGCATAACCAGTGTGTAAATTTGGTAAATTATTTTGGAAATTTGGTAAAGATTACAACAAAAGCATCTCAAACATTTTGCTTGTGTCTTCAATTGCTGATATTAAAAAAAAAACCTAAAAATTTTTACTAGAGTATGATAAGTCTTCCTATATAAAAATGTGGGAATTTGATTTAAAACTTACTGCATGATTTAAATAGAGGTTAGTAAGCAAATATAGTGGGAAATGTATTTTTCATTAATCTAGATTAACACTAGATTCTAAACACAAGAGAAGCACTCCTTTATAAGAGATGGCTCTTTAAATTATGAAGTCGGAAAACATGTATCAAAGTAATCCAACAGATTTTTCAGATAAAGGTGATAGTGTCAATAGTTCCAACAACTCAGACTGTTGTATGAAGAATGCAGTAGGTAGTATCATCACATACACTGAGGTCAGCCTCTATAGAGAATGTTGTGTGTAGTAACACCACTTACACTGAGGTAAGCCTCTATAGAGAATGCTGTGAGTAGTTACACCACTTACACTGAGGTCAGCCTCTCTAGAGAATGCAGTGAGTAGTAACACCACTTACACTGAGGTAAGCCTCTATAGAGAATGCTGTTAGTAATAACACCACTTACACTGAGGTCAGCCTCTATAGAGAATGTTATGATTAGTAACATAACTTAACTAAGGTCAGCCTCTACAGAGAATGCTGTGAGTAGTAACATCACCTACACTGAGGTCAGCCTCTATAGAGAATGCACTGAGTAGTAACATCACTTACACTGAGGTAAGCCTCTATAGAGAATGCTGTTAGTAATAACACCACTTACACTGAGGTCAGCCTCTATAGAGAATGTTATGATTAGTAACATAACTTAACTGAGGTCAGCCTCTACAGAGAATGCTGTGAGTAGTAACATCACTTACACTGAGGTCAGCCTCTATAGAGAATGCACTGAGTAGTAACATCACTTACACTGAGGTAAGCCTCTATAGAGAATGCACTGAGTAGTAACATCACTTACACTGAGGTAAGCCTCTATAGAGAATGCTGTTAGTAATAACACCACTTACACTGAGGTCAGCCTCTATAGAGAATGTTATGATTAGTAACATAACTTAACTGAGGTCAGCCTCTACAGAGAATGCTGTGAGTAGTAACATCACTTACACTGAGGTCAGCCTCTATAGAGAATGCACTGAGTAGTAACATCACTTACACTGAGGTAAGCCTCTATAGAGAATGTCGTGAATAGTAGCACCACTTACACTGAGGCCAGCCTCTATAGAGAATGTTGTGAATAGTAACACCACTTACACTGAGGTCAGCCTTTATAGAGAATGTCATGAATAGTAACACCACTTACACTGAGGCCAGCCTCTATAGAGAATGTTGTGAATAGTAACACCACTTACACTGAGGTCAGCCTCTACAGAGAATGTCGTGAATAGTAACACCACTTTCACTGAGGCCAGCCTCTATAGAGAATGCACTGATTAGTAACACCACTTACACTGAGGTCAGCCTCTTGGTCTGCTTCTCCTTCATCTTCAACAATAAAACTCTCCTTTAACTTCAGGTACTCCTCATGCTCTCTTTTTTCTTCTTCTTCCTTCCTCAGCCTTTCCTCTTCCTCCTTTTAATGGACATAACATGATGATTAGAACTGATGTACTACAGAGTTATATCAAGTTAATTCCAGATACAAATGGGTTTATTGGAAGGTTTGCGAGTAGGGAGGTGGGTTTGGTTGAGTGGGGGGATTTCATGAATCGCCAGCTACTGAGAGATTGAAAGACTGCATAGCTCACCTCATCCTAACATGAAGGTCATGGTATTAGGAATAAATCACTGGGTCCATCAACATAAAATGTGGGTTAGATCAAGCCATTGTTATATATCCTGGACTTACATTAATACAACCATCAATATAATGATGAGCAATGCAAGTTTGGTTAATATAACTTTAGTCAGTGAAGTTTAGCCTTTGCTATATAATGTAAGTTTGGCTAATGTACCATTTGTAATTTTGTGTATTTCAACATTGACCTGAACTCTTCTTTTTAAACTGATGCAGATATAATCCATAAATATTACAACAATATATCATGAAACAAGTGTTTTACCTAAAAGGAACTGTACACAGGGTCTTACTGTGGGAGGAAGCCAGAGTACTTAAAAAAAATTGATGTGGTCGGGCAGGTGACCCCATGCCTATTCACAACAATCAAACACCAACCCTGTGGTTACAGCATAATCTTGGCCACTGCCCACCCCTTTACCACCTAAACTTTGTTGTGTGGTGTTAATGAATTGTTTCTATGTCCAATGCCTAACATGTGTTATTGTATTACCAGTCATTGGTTGATCACTGCTGAACTTTCAGTTACCAAACATAATAAATACCTTGATTTTGTTTTCAGCCTTTTCTTTTTCTTCTTGCTCCTTTCTCTGTTTTTCTAGCAGCTGTTCTCTCTTCTTCTTCTCCTCTCTCTCTTCTTCCATCAGCTGTATATCAAAAAAACATTGAATGCAAATATGTATTTTATACATACCAAACAACATTTAAACAACATATAATAATATTGTATGCATGGCACTCTGACAATAAACCCATGACAGGTGATGATTAACAAGCTAAACCACTTGAATAAGATTTTGGATAAAAATGATAAACAGCAAATCATCATCCTGCAACAATCCCTTCAATGAGTCAAAGTTAATGTACCTGGGCTTATTGCAATTGAAATGGTTCAGTTTGATTAGTTTGTTGGATTTATAGCCCTGTGAACAACCAGGGTCAACTTGAGGTAGTGTCTCATTATAGTAGTTAGTGTTTACTTCACTGAATAACATACATGAAGCCTGTGGCATACCATCCACAGCAAAGGACACAACCATGTCAACACAGACAGTGTGTTTCTCAGCATCCAAACAAACACAAACAATTTAAAGAGTACAATTTGTTTGAAGTTATCAGAAAACCATGAGCAATGCTGCTCTTCTAATAAATATATCTGTCAATTAATTAACATATAATGCCAACATTTTCAAACTTTTCCAATGAAAGATTAACAGACTTTGAAGAAAAAGAAAGATGTAGAAAACTGTGCTCACTGAACATAACTCTGGATATAGACCACATACATGTGCTGGTCAAAGAATACAAAAATGCTCCATCTTAACAGAGGCAAGATTTGGAGATCCCAACCTGTGAGCAAAGATGATTAATTTTGCAAACACTAGGCTTGTGGAGTGTTTGTATCTCAAAAATCTTTTCCCTAGGGTTGAGATAATCTATGTAACCTACAATGGGATGAATGATTATTTTTCTTTTACTCTACTGTCCTTCTAAGTAAACAATGTGTTTTTATTATCTTTATATACTTTACACTGCTGATGTGACATCCTAAAATAATCAAAGAGAATCCCCCTGTCTCAACACTAGGGAAAGACAAAAAAATCTAACACCCTTAAAAACCTGGGTATACCTGTCCAGGTTAGAGAAAATTTGCCTGGCATGGTGTTATGTAACATAGGGTAGAAATATTGTCACATTAACTAACATTACAGTATATTTCCTTACAAGCCTTTGTTCTTTCCTCTCTGCTTTTGCCTGTTGTTTAGCCTCCCATTTCTTGCCTTTACCAGCAGGTCTAACATCTTCAAATTGAAATGTACCATCTTCTCCATCTACATCAATATCAGATGTATCACTCCCAGCATCTGAAAAATACAGGTATGTCCTTTTTATATCAAAATTCTATTATTTGTTTTTGATAATTCATGAAATATGTATGTAATTTTAAACAGTGGATTCAAATTTTTGACAGTTATTGAGTGTTATTCTAACTTTGAACAAATAATATATCAATTTTTCTCTGAATTTTTCTCCCACATTAGCAGATAAGATCTACTTGCTTCCATTCAGGCCAACTTACCTGCATGGACTAAATTTCACTGACAATCAGTCTCCACACAATAGATTCAAACTACTGATTTTTATGAAAAAAATAGGTAACATTTACATTAATTTCTCTAAAAAGGCTATTAAAATTGAGACTCGTCCAATTTCTCTTCATTCTTCCAGGGCTTTTACCATAAATTGAAAGGCTGAATAGGTTTTCTCTTTATTTCTTTAACATGGAATTTAAAAATGTAGATTTACATACAGCACATGCAATGTGAAAAATCAAAGCAACACAGTAGAAGAGAGGGCACTTAAGGCAGTAACTTAAATGCAATATAGATGGTTTTACAGACATATAAATATGAAATGTACTCCTTTCATATGTTATCTTTATTTTATTTCAGGAGAAACAATTATTTGCTAATTAACAGGGCAGCCAATGGCAAAATAAATCTGATGGTAAATACAGAAACAAATACTACTTTCAATATGCCCGTTAAAAAAATTAAGTAACATCTGTTCAATAATTTTAGTATTGAAAATCATTTTCTAAACAGAAACCTAATTTAATAATGCCTTTTTCTAGCTAGGATATAGTGTGACATTTACCAGAGTCATCATAGCGTTGTTGCTGCATTCTCCCACGTCTTGGCGCTCGACGACGAACCACCCCTGCTGGAGCATTATTAGCCCCTCTTCGAGCAGCAACTGGCCTTTGATCCTGCCGTTCATTTTTCTTCTCTGTTAAAAGAAGTTGCATTGGTAATCACAATACACATATGTTATTCATAATCAGTTGGAGAAAGTTACGAAAAACAATTTTGAATTCTTTAGTGTTTTATTGTTTGCTCGTGAAACACCATGACAACAGTTCTGATAAATTTGATGCAGGATCATCTTGTAGCAGCTGGTGGTTACATCATTGAACATTATACAGAAGACCTGCCGCATGTTATCTAAGAAATCACAATAAAATTTCCTACACAACAGCATGTTTCACACTTCGATTTCCTAAGGAAAATGAACAATCTATGGTATGGATTGAATCACTCATCTTGTATCTTTATCTGAGGTTGAAAATTCTCTAATGTTCTACCAACTGAGATAATGCAATGACATGTTTTAACAGTGACTATAAAGATATACAAAAATGCAAAGAGTTTATAGGGATTTACTACCAAGCAGATTGTACAGTTGTAATATAGTAATTGTCTAAAATCTGAAGGTCCAACTTCCAATTATGTTTGTTTTTCCTTTTTGGTTAATTAGACCTACACTCTTTCCATTTATTTGTATCTAGTTATACCACCATAGGTTTCAGGCACCACTTGGGCTCTTAGAAATATTGGAACTGAAAATTAGTGACTGGATTACATCCCTTCCCATATTTTTTGTATTTATCAGAAAGTGAGGGAAATAAGTGATCTGTGCCTCAGTCTGCATTCAAATGGTAACTGTGGATAGAAATCTTCATTTCCATATGCATGTCACACATCGATTGAAAGGAGTTCTGGTGTTCCAACGATCTAAGACAAATATAAAAAACAGAAGTCCAAAGAACTTCACAATAATTCAGACTTGATATGAAACATCAATGCATAAAATTAACTTTAGATCTCTATCAACAGTATGAGTGCTACTTTTTATGTGTTCTGTTTACAAATTATAATACTGTATCTAGTCTAGATATATAAGGCCTACACTGTATTAAAGCTTATATGCCTTTTTCAGCCCGATTAATTAATAGGACAATCAATAATGCACACAGCTCAGCGACCCGACACCTGGATATTTGTTAACCGTCTGTATACTGCCTTACGTTTACCTTTTTTCTTCGACTTTACAAAGAAAGATATGATGACGAGCGCTATAACTATAACAGCAACCACTGCAATATAAGCAGTAAATGGATCTACTGGTGCCATTCTTCTGTTTTCGTTGACGTAGTATCTGTTTAGGTATATTGCAACATATGGCACTTTTTCACCGGAAATCAACAGTGACTTATAAATTCTGAGTATCATGTGGAATCCGGAAAATTAAAAACTCGCTATTGTATCACTTTTTCCCTATTTGCTGGCACTTAATATCTTTGAGCAATATTGATACAGGGACGTATAATACAGTATTCTACGTCACTGGTTGATCCTGAGCTGAACAAATTATACAAGATGTTCGATTCAATGAATTTGAAATCATTTTTTTCTTACTAAGATATCTAATTCATTAAGATATAGAATTTAAGATTTCTAATTTACCCAGAGTTTTACTAAATAAGATAATTTAGATCAACATTATATATATTGATCAGATATTTCCTTTAAAAAATGAAATGACTTATTTAACTAAATTAGATATCTTATATAATTTCTCCCGAGATATCAGATTTACTTAAGGCGTCTTATCTATTAGATATGTGATTTAATTTTCTTCATTCTTATTGTCTAAATTAGACATCTTATTTTAGATATATTATTTGATTAATTAAATATCTGAGTTAATGAATATTTAATTAAGTTCTCTTTATTAGATATCGAATTTCATAAATTAATTGTCTGATTTATAAATCATGTAACTTATTTAGTAAACTAATATAATGTATTTAAAAAATATATGAACAAATAACACATCTGACTTCATTAATTAGATAGATTATCTAATTTGGTCAAGTACTGGATCAACAATGTTCCACAGCTTGTCATACATTGTTTGAGAAGTTTACACTTTTTTATCTGTGTTATTTTATTGTTGACAAGTAAGATATTAGTCATGTGTTGTTGTAGCAAATAAGTAAAAAAAAACTTCAGCTTAATTCTTATTTTCAAAGGAGGGGCGCCTATTGATATCGGGGCCATTCTGAAGCAACAGCATATATAGTTTTGCATGCAGATAATTTTAGGTCAACTTCATACCATATCCGATTTAAAACAATATCAAATGGGCACTGCCTGAATGAGAGCGCCATTTGATCAAGAAGAAATAACTTTCACGAATTTCGTGGAAGAAGTCGTCAACGTACAGACAAACTCGAAACACAGGAATTCAAAAGATGGAGTTTCATGAAAAAATACTTTTACGGTCGGTCATAATCTTTGTGCGATATGAAATTCGATAAGTTTGATGTTTGTTAATTTGCTTGTTGGATTTGTTGTTGTATATCATGTTCTAATTTGACAACCTAACATTACTTAATTGGATTGGCCAGATTTATATGCCGGATGTCGTCGATAAAGAAGAAGACACTTACTCTTCCCGAACAACTGGTCTTATTCTCGTTGTACTTTTTGATGAGTCTCCGTGTAAATCTTTCGTTTGTTCATATTTTCTCCAAGTTTTATTGAATTTGAGTTTGGATCATGATTATGTTAGTATTTTATTTATGTTTTTTTTTCTATATTTTATTTATTTATAGATACCATTCGGAATTACCTGTTTCGTGGCATCACTCAAGTCGCTTATTCATTTTTTTCAAAAAGAAAATTTCATTAACATTCAAACATAATTGAATTAAGACAAATATTGCAAGTGCATCAAAATATATGCTACCCTTCGCCACCTTTCATATGAGACCACGCATTTCTTGTTTACGGAAAGCGTCGAAACTTCATTGGCTTTAATTCGGCAATTAGGTATACTCCTATATTGATTGGTTAAAATAGTATTTCAACAAGTCCTTGGCAATATGCGTGTGAAAACTACTAGTCTATTTTCCTTTATTTGTTTGAATTATCTAAGACTTTTAGTATATTGCTCCTTTTCACACAAAAGCTTGTCTGTAAAGACATTTGGCCAAACAAAGGATCGGAGATTCTCATTCCGAGCTGTGATAAAAGTCCCAGCCGACAGCCGTACAAGTAGATCACTTTATGCACTTTACAGACTCTATCAACCGCGTGCTATGCTATCTATTGGGTGGTTTGAGGCGCTACCAATTTTCTTAATAACTCAACTAGACTGTTATACTATGGTCACTAATATCGACAAATCCTTTATAGATTTTTATAGAAGTTTTTTTTTCATAAGAAAAATGACATCAGACGAAAGTACGTATCATTGAGAATGACTAAATAAATCCAAATTTTATATATATGATTAAATCATGTCCTACAACACGAACATAATTGGCTAAATCTATCACCGAAATTAACGTGACGATTAATTCACAATAGGCAGGCCCACCATGTTCAACGTTGTTTATGAGAATAAACCCAGACTATCATTTACAGACGATTGTGTTGGTAGTGAAAGATATAACTTCTGACTTGAATTTCGCATGTGTAAAACAAAGATTTTAATTCATTTCTACAATCGTGTCAGTATCGTATTAATCTGCATTGTCAAAAAAAATCAAATTTCGTACCATAAAAATTCATCTACAATCCACGACTCCTTATTACTGGCGGTGACCTCTAGTTTAGTATAGGTAGAGTTTTGAAGCTCCCAACACAGAAAATGTAAACAAGACAAGACTATATTTAAACATTTATTTTCATAACACATCATTCAGTAAGGATCGACAGACAAGGAAGAAAAAGTTCGGAAATAAATACGAGTATTTCGCGTACATTTATATATATTTCTTTCCTTTTTTAGTTCTGAATTCAACTCTCTCTTTCTTTCTCTCTCTCTCCCCATTGTTCATATTCTGATTTTTTGCATTAGACATTCTGTCTACCCCACTTCTCCGTTTCACAATCTTTTTTGTCCGTTCTCTCATTCCGTCTGTTTATATTCCCTCAATCCACTTTCTTCTACTTTGATTTTGCTAAAATTGATTTCATTTTTACACATGTTAACACTATAAATACATTGTAATATAAATGATATACTAGTATACATAATATATTATGTACATACTTCTATACATATATATTATACATGAATCACTGTATTCTGTATTCACACGTGTTAGTACAATACTGTAACGGCATAAGAAATATTTTGAAGAAAACAAGAATAGAGGAAGAGATAGTTGATAAAATCGAAATATCTTCTAATTTAAGTTGTAAAACAGCATCAATAGTAGAATAACACACATCTAAATATTGGACCAAATGTATTGTTATATGCTAGCGTATTTTAGCTCATTTGTCACTGCATTGGAAACTTTTGATTATCTTGTTGCGAAGAAAAATAAAAAATAACACACAGTAATTTGGTATTTTTATATCAAAATCAGAGAAAATTATAATCATAAATAGAATATAATCCGTATTTTGATGTGAAGATTCAGCAAGGATGGAATCTTATTAAAAAAATATTCATCAAATGCATTTAAAATCATTTCAAATTGTTGTCTTCTTTCCCCACAATCAAACACATATGTATATATTACACCTTCCAGTTTCATATATTAATAAATACTTCGTCAAACAATATTTACACCACACACAGACATGTAATAGCACTTTGTTCATGAAAACGTCATTGGGAATATCGTGATCCTTAACAAATAATTCTAGTCAGGCCTCCGATTCGTGTCCCTATTTGACTATTGGGTCAAGTGTTAAACAACACTGAATATAAAGGAAATTTGTTCACTTATCATCCCGGAAAAGTCAATTCTGTTAAGTAATGATCCAGTATCTAGCGGAGTTTCTTTCTAAAACATCAGGCGACTCGATCTTTTCTTCTGTCCTGCACACCAAGACTTTGACTTCGAGCGGAAGTGACGTAAATCGTCTGTGTGGTTTCTGTCAAGCATGGGTTTGTAGGCCATAGGTTCACAGAGTTCCTAAAAATTAGAAGAAAAACACAATATGAAATATATCATAATCTTTACATCTATTTTGAATTAATTGAACTTTATAGAAAATGTATGTTATATGGTTCCCAACACTACTTCCGGTTTATAGAATTCCGAGAAAGTCAGCACATAATATCAAATAAACAAAAGGTTTATCATACTGATATGCTCATGTCTTGATTCACATTCAAACGAAGGTTCATAAATCAAAACCACATATGCCAACAATAATCTTTGCCGATTTGTCACTAAACTGAACTTAAATGAAAAATTCATGTTTACATACCTGTTTAGTTTCGTAGAAGGCTTTGTAACCATCATGCAAGAGATAAACTTCCGGGTAGTTTAGCAATGGATAGTTGTCGGTGTTCATTTCTCTGTCTTTGTTTCGGAGGAATCTGCACCTATAAGAAGATGAGAGCATTAGCACAATTTTAACAATTTTACAGAGGATACATCGAAAAAATATCAGTTCGGCAGTTGCAATGTTATCTTTTTTTTTAATCTCAAATCAAGTTGCAAAAGAATAAAATGTATATCTGTTGTTGTAAACACGTGATAACTTACATTTTTGGACCTCGCTCGGACGAAAATTCGCAGTGAAAGATGAGAATATCGTGACGGTCACCGCGGGCTACCTCCCTGTCCTTCAGGAGCTCCATAATCTGGTCACGTGTATATCGATTCTCTGCATTCTGCAATCACCAAACAAAACAACTTTGAAAGTTTCTAATGTTTCAATCAAAAAATGAAGTTGCGTTTCCGTATTTGCACCATAACCTTCTGCTTTACGATACATAATAACAATATAATTTTGTTAATGTATAGAATTACTCCATTAACGGCAATCAACTTAATTGTTTACGAGATAGTGCACTAGTACTACAAAAAATAACTAACAATAGACTTACCTTGATGTGTCCTCCTTCATACTCGTATGGGTAGCGACAGTCAATCACCCGAAAACTGTTGATGGATTCGTTGTACTTTCCCGCTAAAACATCAGACATCTGGAAATAAACAGGAACATAAGTATAAAATAAGTGCGAATCCATGATGACGTATCTGCACCCAAAGATGTGTTGACATGAAGTTGCAATAAAAGAAAAGTGGCAAAGATTGATTATAAAAAAAGAAGCATGGCACTAGCAAGCGAACACCAAGAAAACTGTATGCAACAGGGGCAGTAACAGAAATGTCTGACACAAGTA